CCGGCAGGAGGAGTTGCCAGGTGGACGCCACAGGGTAGTGAAGGCCAGACAGAGCGCTCCCGGCGTCGCTGGGCCCCTTGAACTTAATTTACTCTCCACTTCACCGGGGTGGGGTTGTCCCTTGCTACCTGAGCGACCTCCCATGCGAGCTACTACCGCCCTGGACAGGTGGATCTCCCGCTTACTCCCAAACAGAGTCCAGAACCCAAAATCCAAACCTAGAATCCGGTGCCGTAATTCCGGCGGAAAAAGACGCCCTAACGTCCAGCCTTCATCAAACAACAGACCCGCGGCTGCTCCCATGAAAGCGCCACCGAGGAAACCTCATAGAACCCTGAAGCGAAAAGCCAAGAAGGCACCCAGATGATTTACTCCACCCACCGGTTGCTTCCAGTGGTGTGCTGCTGGGGCCCTCGCCTGCGGGCGCTGTCCGCAAATCTCGCGAGTAAATTCCCGCTCAATTTTTGGCGATGTCCGAAGACGGGGGTTGGCTATGGAATATGATAATGACCACAGTAGTGGACGGGAGGAGCTATCTGCGTTCCTCGGTTGTTCCGCGGGCGTGTGCACAGCTGGGCCTGAAACGAAGGAGAGCCCGCAAGGACCCGATCCACATCATGAACGCAAGATCGTACTTCCGAGACCCCAAACAGCAAGCCTTGAGTCTCTACTTGGGAGACCACTCCGAAGACGTTTGCCCTCTCGGCAGGACACACACGCTGGCTCTGTGGCCTACCATGTGAGAGCGCCAAGCAACTGACCGAGCACCTGAGAGAAGCAAACGACGACAGACACAGAGTACCGGGCGACGACAAGCTGATCATTCCGGCCCATATACCGAACCGGACAGCTGCCATGCTCATCCACCAGGGTGCGCGCACGATCGCGAGCATCGAGCAAGCCGGGACTGGGGTAGCGCTCCCCGCTATCAGGGGCCTGAACGCCCTGGTAGGAGGCCTGGAGGACTCAAGCAACACCACGGAGCAGTCCCAGAGTAAGGCAGACCCGGACCCCGAGAAGGCGAGACGCCGGATAGCAAACAGGGTGAATAACGCGCTGAGCTTCGGGGCAGTTGCTAAGGCTCTCCGCGCCCTTGATGACACACCCATGGTAGACAAGCCAGAGAAGGCCAAGGCCGCCCTCAGCGCGCTACACCCATGCGTCCTCCCGAAGGCTACGTTGGCCTTGACTACCCTCCATCGATGAACTCGATGGACTGGAGCGGCAACCGAGGAGGAAATGAGGAAGGCCCTGTTGGGACTCTCAACAAGAAGGCCTCAGGCGTGTTTGGCCTCGGGTCGGTCCAGCTCAAGGCGATGAAGCAGAGCGACAGCTTCGTGAAATACCTCACGCAGGCGTACAACGAGCTGACCACCCACCCCGAGGCGACGGCCATGTTCGAGTTCCGGGCGATCCTCATCCCGAAGGAGTCCGATGGATACCCCCGATCGCGATAGGCGGATGGTCACGAACATCTTCCACTGCGTCCTGCCGAAGCGGCTGGTCAGGCATGCCAGCTACCTCTCATGCGAACAGATCGCCTTCAAGCAGAACGCGTACGCGGTAGGCGTGAGGAGGGCCCACGAGCTCATCAGCAGGCGGGGGATGCATGCCGTCTCCTTCGACATAAAGAATGCCTTCAACTCCCTCCCGAGGGCAGAGGTCGCCAGAGCCCTGAACGAGGCGGGCGTCCCGAAGGTCCTGGTCGACTACATCGGGGACTTCCTCGACCTGAGGCACAGCCGGGACGTGAAGTGCGAGGTCTGCGGCGTCCCCCAGGGCAGCCCGCTCAGCACGTTCCTCTTCTGCATGGCCATCGAGCGCCTCCTGAGACGCCTCAGGGAGAGGGGCATCACCTTCCTTGCCTAGCGATGACATCGTGGCGCTCCACGACGAAGGGCACCCAGCAGATGTGATAACACAGCTGGCCACAGCAGAGGCTGCCGCCATGGGCCTGACGATCAGGAGCGACAATGCAAGTCCACCATGGCGGGCGAGGAGGTGACCTTCCTCAACCACCTGGCGTCCCCCACTCCTGCAAGCCTCGCCCCAAAGGCCATCGCAGGTGCTGAGACTGCCCTGAGGAAGATCGAGAGAGCACCCATAACCACCCACCAGAGACTCATCCTGGTGTCACTCTGTGTGATCCCGATGGTGAACTACGCCCCCCTGGTCGAGATCACCTCGGACAAGGCGGACTACGAGGAGCTGACAGACGTCGCACAAAGCTTCAGCACTAACCAGCAGAAGCTGCGATTGCCTGGTCGACTTCCTGGCGTACCGAAGGAGAAGGGCGGCCTGGGCCTGCTCATGCCTGGGTTCTACCACGACGAGCTGCGGAGGGTGTGGGCCTCCCTGGACGTCAACAAGGGGACCAGAGACCCGGTGGAGCTGTCGGTGGACGGCCAGGCACTGCAAGGGAAGGGGCCTACTCCAACCGCCTCCTCACGCGCACACCAGCTTCCGGACAGAGTGGCGACGTACTGTCTGCAGATGTGCGGCGTGCTGACCGAGGAGGAAAGGGCTCTGAAGGAGAAGGGCGGCTCGATCATGGCGCAGAAAGAGGCACCTGCCCGGGCTGCCACGAGGCACGACATGATCGTCACGTGCCTGTGCCTCCGCGTCTCGGGGAAGCTCAACCGGAGCTGGAAGTCAAGACCCACAGCCACCTCAGATCAGAACCAGAAGCCCGACATCTGGCTCGTCGACAAGTGCAAGGCAGTGGACGTGGGCGTCATCCAGCCCCGCCAGATGGACGCCTACTACAACGAGAAGGTCAAGAAGTACAGGGACGGGACGCTCCCGATCATCATGGGACGGACGGCTCCCTCCACCCCAGTCCAAGGGGCACCTCGAGGAGCTCCACGTGGACCTCTGTCCGGGCTGCCTTCGCCATCGCCTACATGGCTGCAGAGGCGAACGAGCACCTGACGGAGCTGATCAGACGCGACCGGGCCGAAAGCCTGGCCACCCAGAGCGACCGCCTCCTGTCATCCTACTTCTGACAACCGAATGAATCCACCCCTGGGACCTGTCGACAACGACCGAGAAGGGGCAAAGACTGGACACACAATCGAGTGGAATCCCAGCCAGTGGAGAGAGTCCTGATAGCTGCTGCTGATCTACATGGACAGTATTGAGAATGACAACAAAGACCAGAGCTTCACCAACCGTGAAGGGAGAACAAGGAGAGGCACCCTAATAGACCAGCGAGCCTGCAGGACGGCTTGATCTCTGAAAGAACCGTTGTGCACATCCAGTCTGAGTGTACTCCTGTAGAATAGCCGAGGAACGCAGATAGCTCCTCCCTACCACCACTGTGGTATCTATATTGATACACGACCAACCCTCGTCTCCGGACTAGTCAGGGACTGAGCAAGAGCTTACCCGTGAGATCTCTGGACCATACCTGCAGGCGAGGGCCCCAGCAGCACACCACTGGAAGCAACCGGTGGGTGGAGTAAATCATCTGGGTGCCTTCTTGGCTTTTCGCTTCAGGGTTCTATGAGGTTTCCTCGGTGGCGCTTTCATGGGAGCAGCCGCGGGTCTGTTGTTTGATGAAGGCTGGACGTTAGGGCGTCTTTTTCCGCCGGAATTACGGCACCGGATTCTAGGTTTGGATTTTGGGTTCTGGACTCTGTTTGGGAGTAAGCGGGAGATCCACCTGTCCAGGGCGGTAGTAGCTCGCATGGGAGGTCGCTCAGGTAGCAAGGGACAACCCCACCCCGGTGAAGTGGAGAGTAAATTAAGTTCAAGGGGCCCAGCGACGCCGGGAGCGCTCTGTCTGGCCTTCACTACCCTGTGGCGTCCACCTGGCAACTCCTCCTGCCGGCCTGCTTCTAACTGTCGACTGGACCCACTGACCTGGGGGACTACGAACAGGAGGGAACGCCGGCCTCCGGGACCACGGCTGGACGGACACCGAGAGACGACCCCAGCCAGTAAAGCTAGACCTCGACAGCAGCCGTCGCGACAGAGGAGACTTCTATTGAAAAGGAAGTGACAACCCAGGCTCGTTCACCAGACGGCAGATTAAAAAGCGAGGCATACTAATGGACAACGTGTGTCCTTGCAAAGGTCTGAACCCTGGACAGACACACGAGCACCCCTGGACACGCACATCGCATGAAGCGACCGAGGAATACAAGAGACTCTAATATACAAATGGAGGGAAATTCCCTTAATATACCATCAACGATCAACCCTTGTCTCCACACTGGCCATGACTTGGATGAGACTTACTTGTGAAGTCTCTGGACTACGCCTGTAGGTAGGCTCCAGTAGCACAGTCTTAAAAATAACTGGTGGGTAGAGTGGTCATCATGACCTGGTAGCACTGGTGTGCTGTTTCTATGCCTATTGGTGTACCGGTTATGCACGCATATATCACGATGCTATGCAATGTGTCATGTCATCGTGGCTCGTAATGTGTGGCTATGCCTCCTCTTTGACCGATGTCGCCTTCCAACATCACGGCCTATCACAGGGCTCGCACATCAGATGGTGACTGCTCTGTCATACGCGATCGCTGTGAGACCGTCGGTCCCGCTGGCAAGGACCCGGTGGAGGTGACTACCAGGATGCAAGGCACAGTGCGGAACACAAGGCCACGGATCACGCATAGAGACTTGAAAGGACAGGATGATGAGGCATCCTGCATCGAATGGGGACGGTGCAAAAGTGGGGGTCAAGAGTCACGGGGAATTGCTTTTTAGCTTCTGCCTTTCGTCTTCGACTTGTGGCCTTAGGCATCTATGTGGAGGTTTGCGCATAACTTTTATGGTGCAACCTATAAATCTATAATGATACGATAACTGATGCATCGGCTACCTAAGTAAACGTCATATAGTTATTTTGTGTGATGTACTCTATAAATAGATCAGCATTCCTAAAGTAATTGCTATGCTACTGGATTGGTAAGCTCTAGCATTGGATGGCTAGAGGTCAGGTTACGAATGGTTCCCCATTCGCATGTACCTAACAATCTGAGCAGAGCCACAATGTTGCTACTAGCTCCCTGCCTTTTGATAAGTGCTCTTGCAGCATCGTGCAGTGGGCCAACTGCAAGTAAGTGTAAAGATGGTGAGTGTGATATGATTGGCAAAACGGAAGTTTGCACACAGTGTAAAACCGAAACAGACCACCTTATTGATGGAGAATGTGTACCAGCAGGGACTGACCAAGCAGCTGCTAAATGCGCTTCCCCTGCTCAAGGAAAGTGTGGCTCTTGCGGCGATGGATACTTCATGTACAAGGGCGGATGTTATGAATTTGCTGGCGAATTGGGCGGGCTTATCTGTGCCGACCCAGCAGGAGGGGCGACAGTTGGTAAAGTAACAGGAGTCTGCAAGGATTGCGTGGAAGGATTCTTTAAGAGTCCAGTGGCAGCCGCTAATAAGCAATCGTGCATCTCCTGTAATGACACGACGGGGGCAGATCAATATCAAGGTGTAGATCAATGTAAAACATGTAATCCTCCAAGCAATACTGGCCCTGCTACATGCACCGCGTGTGATGAAGGCTATTTCGGCGCAGGCACTACGACCTGCATAGCTTGCGGCGACGAGAACTGCGCTACATGTACAGAGGCGACAACCACAAAGAAGTGCAGCAAGTGCAAGGCTACCAGTAAGATGTATTTAAAGAAGGAAAGCGGTAGTCTAACGGGGATATGTGTAGAAGGAAATCAATGCTCCACCGATTCTACCCTCTACCCAGATGATACCGAGCCTAAGAGTTGCAAGCCGTGCACGGCAGGAACGTTTGAGAACTGCAAAACATGCACCAAAAGTGACACCTCCGTTACCTGCACAGCGTGCAAGGAAAATATGGTATTTGGACTCGGAAAGAAGTCGTGCATTAGTAGCTGCCCTGATAACTCAGAAGCCAAGACCGAGAATACTTGCACGTGCAATGATGGATTTAAGCTTAACGAAGAAGAAACACAATGCGTGCCAAATGATTCCCCTTCAAATCCATGCAGTACTCAGGATTGTAAGGCATGCAGTGGTGCACAAACAAACAAAGAGATCTGCACCGAATGTCTGTCCAACAAGTATCTGACGCCAACAAACCAGTGCATAGACCACTGCGAATATATTCTAGGCTACTACAGTAGCACAGAGGGCAACAAGAGGGTCTGCAAGAAGTGCGAGGTCGCCAACTGTCTCGCGTGCAGTGAAAATGGCGGGTGCGGTCTCTGTAAGGACGGCTTCTACGGCGAAGCGTGCTCCCCTTGCGATTCCAGCTGTAAGACATGTAGCGGAAATACTGCCAATGATTGCACAAGCTGTAAGTCTGGAAGCACGCTCACCTACGGATCCACAGGAAACACTGGCACATGTGGGGCCGAGTGCGCGGCGGGCACAGGCACAGGCAAGTGCAGGGAGTGCGGTCTGACTGTTGAGGGGACAAAATACTGCTCTGTCTGTAGTCAAAACAACGAGTATCCCCAGAACGGCGTCTGTGCTGTTAAAGCCAGTCGCACAGATAAGTGCAAAGATGGAAGCATTACCGGTGGCGTGTGCAATGTCTGCGCAGACGGCTTCTTCAAGATGAACGGCGGCTGCTACTCCACCAGCCAGCTTCCGGGGTCGACAGTGTGCTTGAGTGCGCAGAGTACAGGCGGAATCTGCAAGACTCCGGAAGAAGGATTTAGCCTGACAGGCGAGAGCCTTGTGACTTGCTACACTGGGTGCGCTGAATGCACCACCACTAAGGACTGTTCTAGGTGTATGGACGGATATGTGAAGGTTGGCAGTGCCTGCACGAAATGCCACGAAAGTTGCTACACCTGCGAAGCCGGTGCTACTACATGCAAGGTATGTGCTCCTGGATATTACAAGGAGAGTAGCAGTAATGGGCCGTGCAGAAAGTGCTCCGAGGGGCTGGCTGGATGCAGGCAGTGCGCGACACCTGTTAACGGCAAGTTCATATGTTTCGAAACGGATGATAATACCGGCGACAATACTGGCGGAAGCACGAACAAGAGCGGGCTCAGCACAGGTGCCATAGCCGGCATCTCCGTCGCAGTCATCGTCGTCGTTGGGGGTCTCGTTGGCTTCCTCTGCTGGTGGTTCATCTGCAGAGGCAAAGCGTAGATGTACTTAGGTAGTAAACGCGTCTACCGCTATGCTCTTACAAGGTCCTACCGGAATACAGAGAAGAGTCACCAGTGCTCGTGGCCCTTGACACCCATAGCTATCGTATCCTGTAATCTGTCTGATTGTCTGAGTGACCATCGTGGGGGACACAGCGATCGTGATGTTCGTGAAGTGGCACAGGGCCGGACACGAGAGACGGCGCCGACTCTGGGATGCACACCGCCATCCAGGCAGATTGCTTTTTTGGGTCCTGGATCCCATCACTATTAGTCTGGCCAGAGTGCGCCATCCTGACAGACGCGTGCCACAGAAAGCCTCTTGTTGCCATCGTCCAGAGACTTGCAGGATTGCGGGGCTCAGGCAGCCACTATCCCATGAGCGAGGCTGGCCTCGCCCGGCGCCTCCAGCACTCTGCAGCTCTGCGTCCTGACGACCGCCGTGTGCCGGCTGACAGCAGTGGGCACTGCACTGCGCAGACACGCAGTCGTCAGCTACTGTTCCGGCTTCCAGCGCCCCTTCTTCTGTGATCACGTCTGCCTGGCTGGGGCCGTCCCCTCATCCAAAAGCGCCTCCTCGACAGCCTCTCAGGGAGGCACTAAGAACCGCTTGTCCAACCTAAGACATCATAGCGTTCACACTTCAGCTGGACAAGTATCGCGGGCCGCCCTCGTTCACTCTCTGGGCTAGGATGCCAGATCTACCCCCAAGGCCCCCGTCTGTCAGCACTCGCTTTCGCAGGCATGCCATATATTTGACAGGCCCGTCTCGCGTGGGTGGGGGCACCTTGGTCTGGCTCATCTAAGAGTGGTCCTTCGGTTCGACACGACCCTACATAGCACGTAGCATCTGCAGAGAACGCCCCCGCCCGATGGCTACGTGTAACCTCGGAAAGGCGCATCCTCTTTCTGCACGACTGGAACCCGTGGTCCTTTCGCTGCCGCCTGTTTGCAGTTGGGCTGCGTCGGAGAGTTGCATGCAGAAGCCTTCCTCACCCAATCGCAAGCTTGTGCGATCCAGCACGTCTTGCTTAAAGAGACAAGAGATCACCCTTCCCTTGAAGACAGCCGTGCCGCTATCAAGGCCCGGTTCTTCTCGCCTGGCTCCATGTGCTTGCCGTCCTTAAGCAGGCAGCCCGTGCGCAGAGGGCTATGTTCCCCGCATTGTAGGGCACCAGAAGGCGAGGCATCTTCCTTGCGTCGCATGAATCGCACTGGCCGCCCGTCTTTCCGCACAGTATTCAAGGCCGGGTGCATCGTGGTTGAAGTGCATGCAGTCTTCCTGCGCCACAAAAGGAGGGGTGCAGCATGGTTCGGGGCCGCACTCTGGGGCGTCGCTGTTTCATCCTGGAGTAGAGCGCGGGCTCCCTCGTCTGTGGAAGTCTGCTGCCATAATAACCTGCGCTCCCGTCTATGCAGCTGCTCCGCCTCGGCTGGCTTCTACCCTCGCCCCTCTATCTGCGACAGGGCCCTGACCTGATGTCATGCTCAGAGGCAGTGCTTAGTCTGCCTGGGTGTAGCGGGGCCCTCAACCCCGTATTACCATCGCCTGGGTCCATCCGAGGCGCGGGAGGCTTTGGCGATTTCTATGCTGAGATCCTCGTCCCTAGTGACGGGCTGATCGGGGCCTCTCTGGGCCGGCATGCGCAGCGATTCGAGATCTGCAAGGCAGCCATCTATCTCTGTTTGAGTACCAGCTTTGGTCACTCTCAAAGGGGCCGTGACTTGTGAGCATGGGCTCAACATCCTTACCAGGGACAGCTGCATAGAAAGCCAAAGAACAAAGAGGCCTTCCTCAGCACGCCTCTGACGTCCTGCACATCTACCTCGTGTTACAATGGCGTACAGTAGCCACTCATCGCAGCTGTGTTCGCGCTTGGCGGCCTAGGAGGCCCTGTGGTCCACCGGGCAAGCCGCTGGCGAAGAAGCAGTGGATGTCCCTTTGCCACTGCACCTAGGGAGCCCTCAAGATGCTTGTTCTGTGACACCCCCGGCTGGCTTGGAGTAGCCTCCGGCACCCGCGGGGAAGGCTGGCTCCAGATGAACCGCGGGAACCTCGCGCCTTCTAGACACTGTCGCCCTGCTTCGGAGAGGCGCAAGAGCCACAGCTCGGCTGCAACTTGCGCCGGCTCTGTCAGCTGCTATCACGCGCCTGCACTGTGCGACAAGGCATCTCGCACACGGTGGCCAGAGGGGGCTTCCCAGGCCTGAAGGCCATTTGAATGACGCTATCAGCTCCTGCACAGACTCGACGGTCAGGGCGTCAATCCCGCTATGGCCGCCCCTTGAGGACGAGCCCCCGAAGGGTGGCGCCCTGCCACGCCGGATGCCCTGCGATTTACTCGTGCGGGTCCTGACACACTTTCAGGTAAAAGACTCAGCAATATATGACTTATTCGAGAGAACTAAGGTTAGTGACAAAGCCTACACTGACAGTCTGGTCGACACCGCTCCATCCTAGCAATCCATGCTTCTCTCTATTCCAACATAGGGTTGTGATAGTTTGTTGGCTGACAGGAATGTCGCATATTGTTTTACAGGTTCCCATTACGCCGACCTCACTGCCGTCTTCAAGCTTACGGGTGCGTTCAGCAGGGGGCTCGTACTTACAGAGGGCTAAACGTCCCCCACCACAAGTTACGAAAACGTCTCGAGATGACGGGGAGTGACTCACACGCCAGAGAGTCGCCGTTGAGTCAGCACCAAATGGCTTATAATCTAGCAGTGCATAGTGCTCCGTTTGGTGGAATGTTCGCTGATCAATTATGTACGCATGTCCTTGTAAGGTTGAAGCTACAAGTTTGTTGGGAGCGATATCTGGCCTATCGTAGTCTATCCCAACAATCCCGTTAGGGAAGTGCTGCTCGTATATTAAACGCTGCTCGCGCAAATCAAGAACCTTCAAATCACCGTTATCATATCCCATGGCGATATATCTATGGGTAGGCGAGGAAGCTCCTCCAAAAGATACGGCCCAGCATTCTGGATAAACCCGTACATAGCCTTCATCCTTGTAACCGACATCCAAAGCAGACTCCAAGTTGGGACGAAGGCGCACAACAGGCGTGGGGTGCCTTATGTCCCATACGTTGACAACGCCATCAGAACCGCCCGTGACGATTTCTGGGGCGCCATATGCGGCAGGATTCTTCCCACCAAACGCGTCAAGACAATGCACCATTCCATCATGAGCCTTGGCAGCGAAGATGGGGGTTTTGAGACGCTCAATATCAAACACGCCCAACCCCCCATTATGGTCTCCGATGGCGAACTCCCGCTTCGGGCTAATTGATGCCCCGAAACTCACACATTTAACAGCGTGCACATGCTCGCACGATGATTGTACAGACAGCTTCTGGTTCTTCATCTCCCAGATGGAAACAGGCCCTGTGCCTCTCGAAGTCATTCCAACGGTGAGCAATCTGGCAGACTGAGGAATCCAGGCAATTCCATTGACTGTATAGTTAGCTTGTTCCGCGTGGAGCTGGAGAATGGTCGGAGTCAGCGGATCATGACTGGACATTTTTTATCACTGGCTTCTTCGGTCTAGCATCACGTTATATCGGTAACTGTGCAGCATGTTTTCAGGCAAGTGAAGAAACCGCTGTCTCATTCATTCTATCTCGTTAAATAGATATTTCTATATGAAGGTATTCTAGCAGGTATTTATAGTTTCTCACCAGTTATGGATGCATTGATTGAGCCAAACATGCTTTTAGCTAAAGTCTTTATCACTATCTCTTGGCTCAGAACAGCTTGCAGAGCTAGATCTTTGTCCGCGCTACCTCTCAGTGCATCAAGCAGACAACGATTTGTAGAAAAGTCACGTACCTGTCATACTTGCCTGTACACACAAACGGGCAAAATCGAAATTAAAATGATAGGGGCTTCTCTTTTGCTAGGTGCAGTTCTTGCCGCTCCGGCTGTCTCCCACGCCGATCTCCACACAATTAAGGCGCTCGATGGTCTCACCTGGGTCCCGGAGCTTCCGAAGCGTTTTATGGGCAAGTCCCTGGACGAGGTCAAGGCTATGTTCGGTCCCCTTGTTGACACGTCCAGACCTGCAATTACCATGAGGCGCAGCACCACGCCTCCTGTTGGGGCCCCGGAGAGTTATGACTTCCGCGACGAGTATCCTCACTGCATCACAGAGGTCGTTGATCAGGGCAACTGCGGATCCTGCTGGGCCTTCTCCTCCGTCCAGACCTTCGCAGATCACCGCTGCAGGAGCGGGTTGGATGCCACGGGCGTTAGCTACTCGGTTCAGTACGTGCTTGACTGCGACCGCAAGGACCACGGCTGCAACGGCGGCGAGCCAGTGAACGCCTTCAATTTCCTCCACAACACGGGGACTGTTCTGGCTAGCTGCGTGGGGTACACGGCCGGAGACGATGCTGTCGTCAAGTTTTGCCCCCAGAAGTGCGACGACGGATCCGCTGTGGAGAACGTCGTCGCCACTAGCGGGTCGAAGTCCGGGTCTGCAATCGACGTCCTTCTCGCTCACGGCCCCGTTGTAGCGACCTTCAACGTCGCGCAGGACTTCATGTATTACAAGAGCGGTGTTTACCAGCACAGGTGGGGGCTCTGGCTTGGCGGCCACGCCGTAGAGATAATTGGGTATGGCGTGACAGACTCCGGCCTCGACTACTGGACTGTCCGCAACTCCTGGGGCCCTGACTGGGGTGAGGACGGCTACTTTAGAATCGTTCGCGGCGGCGACGAGTGTGGCATAGAGCACGAGGGCTTCCACTATGCAGACGTAGAGTGAATCCGCTTTTGTCCTCAACTGTGTCTGGTGGTCCGGTTAAGCTAAAAAGTTACAGCGGGCATGGACCTTGATCTCCGGATGAACGCCGAAGAGATTATGCAACCAGCAGAGGCACTAGCTGCAATCGAGCCACCCACTGAATACGAGGATTCCAGCCCGGCAACTATTTACAGAAATGCCTTTCACATTGGATCTCCTCTTTATCAAGGAATTTCTCAGAGCATACGGGGTTACCTAGCACCGGAACAGGACGTCGCTGGTCCCGACACCCGCAAAGATCTCGAAAGGGGTTTACGGTATCTAGGGTTGCTGAAGAAAACGTTCAATAGATTGGCCTCTGCAGAAAATGAGAACACCTTTAGGGAAATACTTCGTGAACACAGAAATGCACAGTCTAGCGGTAGATCCTGTAACATCCCTGCGTTTGTGTTTGTTCAGCAGCTCCTGGGATACGTGTGGGAGGTGTACCCGTTCATAGATGAAGATCCAAGTGATAATTTCTGCAAGGAGTTGCAAACCCTCTTTCAAAGACAGATAGAGAACGATCCCCAGATATACGTAATCTTCCATATCACTATGGTTATGATGTGTCCTTACATTCTGGGCCTTTACGAATCTGAGTCGGAGAAGCGTACGAAAATACGTGAGCTGCTGCGTGTGTTTGTTACCACCGAAGAGGCCAAGAAAAACGAAAGATACTATGACCTCATCTCGGCGATAGTATACTTTTTCCTCATTATACACGCATGCACTGGTAAAAGGTATGAATATGTATTGATCCAGGTTGTCCTGGACAGAGTTCGCGACGTAAACATATCAGAAGACATCAGCAAAGCACATGTCTTCCACATAGAGGCAGTTCTGCAGGGCCTTTTAAAAGCCCTGCACAAATTTAACAGTGGTGTAGTAAAAAGTACTGTCTTTGCTAAAGAGAAACCTTCTCTCAGTCTGAACACATGGAATCAGATAACTAAGTTTGTCGACGACGTAGACAGAAAATACAGACCTAAGGAGTTTTTTGGCTTGAAGCGGTACTGCAAGGAGCAGCCGCAGTATGTGGCGAAGGCCTGATCCTATGCACTCCATATAAATGCCCCGGACTTGATGAATGAGATAAGCTCCTGAGTTGCCGCCTCAGAAGCCTCATTGTCATCTTCTAAAGACGTTCTGATGATGGCCGACAGGTCCCCGGGCATGAATAATCTATGTGCATCCTTGCCCTGTTGTTCGACCTTTATTAGCTCAGTGAGTGAATCAATCCCCTTAGTGCTGTAGAATGCTGCGAGTGCCCTTTGGCGCTTTACTGCTATACCTAAGACAATTAGCGGGATACACGTCTGAAGGTAATATGTGTCACCATATGTTTCATACGCCACACACATCTCTTCGTGCTCCGATGATGACGGCACAGCAGATACGTACATGCTGGAGTCATATCTTCTATCGCCAAGACAGGAGTATACCAACGATCTAGGCCCAGTGCTGCCAAGGTGTAACATGAACCTGGAAAGCGAGCTGAGAAAGCTGCAGGCCGTTGATCTTTGAGGGCGGCGAAGATCACTGGTTGTGATGAGAGCTGTAACGACAGCTTGACTTACTAGTGCGATTAAGGATATGCACAGTCCGTGTGGTGTCTTCAGATACTGCTCCAACAGGGGACAGCCTACAAATGTTGTGATCAGTAGTTCCGCGGCAAATGAAAGAAGATGGGCAGACTTATTTATAAGAGATTCGCTGGGCTGAACGCTTCCTCCAAGAATCGTTGAAAGACAGCATCGGCAGAGTCGTTCAATCGCGGTTTTATAGGCACAGATGACTGAGGTCTCTAGAGATAACGTATGCTCCGTTGAAGGAGGATATCCTAATAGAAGAGACGCATAGGTGAGGAGTCCATAGCGACTGGCCTGGAGGCACGCTGCTGCAAGAGGCTTCTTAACATCTAAGCTCAGTTCTGTATTGAATGCACGCAGAGCCCTTATGGCATCAGAATTTTCACCTCTGGTGCAGAGGTCTTCGTCAATGGTTACCACTAGAGAGCAATCCACATACCCAAATGAGGACAGCATGCGAGAAAGGCCATCAAGAAATAATGCCTTGGCCAAGTCCGGCTGCCATGATACGCCGTGGTGCTTATAGATGCTTTCAAGACGCGCAAGAGCAACTGAATACTCTAAGATAATGGAGTACAGCCGCATCAGCGCAGGGGCATAAAATGAGCGTGTTCCGTACGCAAGCATACTGTCGTACTGCAAAGAAAGCTCAACTGTTCCTGACACTCCAAAAAGAGCAAAAATAGACCTTTGAACTACAGCTAGTTGAGCGGTTGTCAACTCCATTGCCAAAGATCCAGAAACACTACCAGCATCAATGTCTTTGGTTACGGCTAAAAAGGAAGGCGAGAACGCTAGACGGTTAACGATACTTTGAGCAACCAGCAAACGATCCTGGCTGTCTGAGATGTAGCTGGGGTGAGCGTCAATGCACACTGTCTTATCTTGCATGGTAATCTTCTCTAGAATGTGTCGGGATTGTAAGCAATCCTGCACAGAAGCTGTGGTGGCTGTGATGCGCTTAATACTCCCTTCTAAGGTGTATACAGTATCGCGAAGTTCGTCCAGAATGTTAGTGGTAATCACAGAAGAAAAGGCAGCCCCGAAAGCCTGGAAGTTGAGCGCCTGTGCTATGGCATCTGCAGTCACTACGCTGAGCTTGGTGAGGAGCTGGGGTGTTGTGAGGCACAGTTCCTGAATGTACTCACAAAGCTTGGTACCCAATCCTGCGAAGTCAAGGGTAGTTCCCGCCTCTTCAAACAGAGCATGATAGTAGAGGATACGAATACAAGTGCGGTAGTCTCTACCTAATAAGTGTACAAGGGAGGAGTCCTGTAATAGGAGAGCCGTTGAAATGGCAGTGTAAAAAGCGCTGAAAACACAACTATCCAACACATAGATCTTTCTACAGACAGCAAGCAGATTAACAGCATCTAAGTAGTCTGGAATAGTCAGTAGATTCATATACAGCTGCTGATGAGCCCCGTCACTACTAAAGCCGCTCATTTGGCTTGGGTGTTTTCTGCCTGTTTCAGCATCGGGAAAGACAGCGCAGGAGCGCATTTTTCGGGCTGCAGCCTTTATACACACTTCAAGCCGTTCCTCATTGTACTGCCTAATGAGCTTTTCACGATTAATGATTGTCTGTACTCCAGATTGCAGCTGCCGAATCTCTTCAAAATAGGCGCCTGACTCGTTTATTCGGCCGAAGGATGCTATGGCTCTTTTGAGTTGATCGACAGCCTCGGAAGCAGGAGCGTCGAGAGCCTTCTTAAGACAGAGACATATCTGAGCCATGTGTTGTGCACGATAATGCGATATGAGGCTCTGGGTCATCTTCTGATCGTTCCTGAGCTGCTCTAAAGAGGCTTTGAGCATGGGGAGGGCGTCGCTACTTGGCAAATAAATTAAGCAACCAAAAAACATAACCGCCTTCCGAGCCAGTTAGATTCCCATGCCACGCCAAAAAAGAAGCAGAGGGTTGCCTCCCTCCAAGTTTGGAGGTATCGACGTAGATATCATCGCTGGAGAAGTTAACCTCTACAAGTACAATAATCCCGGCAAGCAGGTCAATTTCTGGACCATTCACTCAAGTCTTTGCACTGAAAATGATGCCTTCAAGAAGTCAGGTGTCACTCAGGATGAGCTCGAGTCCTTCTACAATAAGTATCACGTTCCAGAGTGGGACGAAATGTGGGCTGTCAAACGGATCCAAGACCTTGCCGTCCGTGGAAAAGCGCTGAAGGCCTTGGTTGATTGGAAGGGCTTCCCTGCGTCAGATCCTCGGTCTGAGGAAAACTGGCTACCTTTGGATGGGCTCCATCCTCGATACATAGACGACTATTGCAAGCGAAATGCCGCTAGCGGGATCACTTTGATCAAGGCCATGGAGCAGCTGAGTAGGTCTGCTGCGCTCCTGGCCTGGAAATCTATAAAAGAGACTAATGCTGGAAAGGAGATGGCTCAGTCGGGAAAGTACATCATCATCAACTCCTTAGCTGACGACTCCGCTTCGTCTCAAGCGCTCCACGAGCCCAAGCCGAAGAAGCAAGGAGGCCAGTCCGTGGAACCTACCCCTGACGCCAACCAGGCGAGCCTTCATGTCAATGACTTGGAAACTAAGACTGCAAGCATCAGCAAGTCCAGCCTTGCGCCCAGAGAATCGTCCGAAGGTGATACAGATGACATTCATGACGCAGATGAGGGTATAGAGTCCATCTCAAAACGCTCGGAGGATCAGACGGCAAAGCAGTCGTACAACCCTGTTGCCACTGTAATCGACAGGGCGCTCACAGGAGCCTACAAAGTTGGATCCAACAAGCTCCCCATTGAGATGGACCTTAGCAACCGTCTCAGAGAAGTGCTCACAATAATAGAAGCCAAGGCATGTCGCATTAGTATCAAGCAATCTTCCAAGGCGTCACCCGGGGGCTTTAATGAGGCCTCCATTCTCTTTACCCATCCCATGAATGACGGTACCGTTAAAAAGCGAACCGTTGCACTAAGTCTCGATGAAGTGGCGGCAGACCACGACGTAGCAGTCTATGTGTTGAGGGAATTTGTTAAAAAATCCACTATAAAGTGATTCACCCATCAATCTCTCTCAGGTTCTAGTAGTGCATAACTGTTTGTTAATCTTATTCAACCGCCGCGCAACCTCCTCTTAAAACAACTAGTGTGCAATATTTTTGACATCGAATACAAGTAAATTTGTTAAGCATAAGGCCTTGAAAGCTAGATACACATGATACGCATCTCAGTTCTTCTTTTGTCTACACTCTATTCTGCTCTGGCAGCGGCGTGTGACGGCCCGTTTGAGATCTACGACGAAACGTCACTTGAAAAGCTGCGAGAGTGTCCAGGAGCGGAATTCAGATTTACAAGTAATGTTCAAGTGAAGCGGGCATTCACCCCTATACCCAGCTTCACAGGAACAATTGACGGCCAAAATTATTACCTAGCCATCCTTAAACTCGTCCCGACCAAGGGAAACATGGGTCTTTTTCAAACCTTCACGGGCACAGTTCGGCGGCTCCGTCTAGTAACTGCAATAAACGATCTTCATCAGCAGACAGAAAAAGCCGGTCTCTTTGCGGGGGCGTGCGATAGCACATCAATCACGGATGTTACGGTTATGGGGACAATTACTTGTAACGTCGAGCTAGATCCCACTATTGCGCATTACATAGGCGGCTTTGCAGGTCGCGCCCAAAATATAGGCGGCAATATAGAGTCTGTGGTTAACTTATCCATCAAAATCACCGTTGGGAACCTTTTCGTGGGCGGCGTTCTTGGCAGCTTAGACTCTGTTGTAGAGACTGGGCAAACTGGCCTTGTAGCAAAAGGGTTCACGTATAATGGAGAGATATCTATAGGAACGTTGAATATGCCACGCCCTACTGACCCTGCTGCCACGCCCATTCATGTAGGGGGAATGGTGGCCAAATCCGAGCGACCTCTATTAGACTTCAGTGCCACCAATATTAATGTGACAATCTGGGCAGCATCGCTCCAGGTCTTTTATGGCGGCATTGCTGCTATTCAATCTAGGTCTATAATGTCGTCCAGTGTTGCGGGAATGTACGTGTTCGTCAACGATTGTAGTGCTACTTCTTATATTGGCGGAGTAATAGGAGATTTGCTGCCATCCTGTGCTGGCTGTACCAGCATTGAGAACACCAAGGCAACCTATGAGTCTTTTATAGTTCGCGGCCAGCTAGCTGCTTCTGGAGGCTTTGCAGCCCATTCTCTAAATGGTGACTTTACACGGTGCATGTGCTCATACAATCATCTCTGGCTGTCCAGTCCTTCTGGTGGATTTATCGGAGTTGCTGAAAATGTTCGCATTTCTGAGTGTGCCGTTCACGTCACCAACTACACAGCGTCGTCTGCGACGAATCTTGGGACTGGCGGATTTGTTGCTGTGCTCAATCAGAATTCGTTGGTTAATAATTCATATATACTCGCTGAAAACTTCACTTTGGACTCTTCTGGCGTGAGGAAAGGCTGTTTTGCAGGCGAAATAGCCAACTCAATTGTGTCCAACTCCTTCCTTCAGTTCGAAAACGCAACCCTTGTTTTAGCGTCATCTCAGGGAACAAAGTTTGGCTTCTTTGTTGGCCTTTTTTCATATAAGAATGCTAAAACGTCTATAGAGCGTTCATATCTCAAAATAAGCAAGTTCAACTACAAGATGGAGACGGAGCATACACTGGATCTAGGAGGCTTCATCACAGAGGCCACGGCGTCCTCTAGTGTAGCTACTAATAGGCAACTTTATGTGACGCAGTGCTGGATGGATATCTCATTGCATCTGGACTTCTCCCGAAGGCCATCTGGGTCTAAGACCTGTCTTGTGGGCCTTGTAGACTTAGCTCGGCAGGGCATAGAGATTAGTGACTTCTACGGGAGGGTGCATCTTCACGGAGACATTATCAATTTCGAAAGAGCCAACTGCATGTGTGTTATTTCGCAGGTACCTGCTCTTCCATCTTCACTTTTCCATAGAATTATATTCAATCTTAGCTATACATACACTGGAGATCCTGCCTCGACACCTGGCACGATTTACGTGTTTGGAGAAGGAGGAGAATGCATAAATTGCAATCAGTTGATTGTGGCGAATAACAAGTACATAGAGCAAAATAACAACTATCTGTTTGATCCAGAAAATATGCGCACTCTTAACTTTTATCTGAACAGGGGGTGGGCATTTGGCAACGTGGAGCTTTGGACCGCGAGAACTCTAAATGCACCGCCAGTGCTCACGGCGCTTCCCTATATTTTGAACAGTTTTGATAAGAGCATAACGTACACTTCTAGCCGTTCCTTTGATCTTGCAAATCAGACCTTAGGTATTAGCGGCAATAATATTGGTGATGACGATGACGATGATGATGACGACGACGATGATGATGATGTTGGGGCAGAAGGATATACTTTTTATTTTCCCGTATGCTTGCGTGATTTATGCTGGGATTACACAAATGTGTGGAATGCAACAGACTCTCCGGGCCACGGTGAGCTCATATGGACTACTCGAGAATGCTCTGTCAAACTTTGTTCCGTGTGTGACCCGACCTCTCAATTTATCTGTATAATATGCTCCGGAGGACGATTGACAGACCAGGGGCAGTGTCAAGTGTGCAAGGAGGGGTGCATTGCATGCCCGGAGTCCCCTGCTATTTGCACTAAGTGTGCTGACCCTGGATACGAGGCGCAAGGAGGAGATTGCGTCAACATCAATGTATGCCTGGCGGAACCAGACTGTCTTCTTTGCAACGTCGACAATAGAATGCTGTGTGAGCGGTGCACGCGGGGGCACTGGCTGAACAAGGAAACAAACAAGTGCCTGCCCTGCCCACCCAATTGTTATGTGTGCACGACAGATACCTTTTGCACCCAGTGCTCAGTTGCCGAGATACAGCCCATTGCGGGCTCGTGTGATTACTCGTCTACTTGCGCAGATACTAGCACATGTCTGTTCTGTCAAACCGATGATCCCACACATTGTCTGGTCTGCATCGACAACAGCATGACACCTAATACTAATGGAATTTGCGTATCGTCGGATACCCTTTACTGCTACATTGCCCGGTGCTCCATGTGCCTCCCTAACAACCCGTACTGGTGTGCAGTATGCGAGGTGGGGTCGTACGTCTCCTCCATCTATGGAATCTGTATGTACTGCGAGACGGGGTGCAAGCAGTGCACAGAGCTGGAATGCACTATGTGCATAGAGGCAGATCTTCTTCCGATAAAGGGCACCTGTCTTTACTCGTCGGACTGTAACATATCTAACTGCAAGTTTTGTGGGGGTGTGTTATATAGTACATGCCTCCAGTGCATGGACGGATATTTGCAAACTGGCGTCGACGGGGCGTGTGAAAGGCAAAGTGTCAAGAACCCAAAAGGGATTTACATAGTCGTGTTTGCTGCCATTGCAATAGTGGGCACACTCATTATTATCGTCGTTATCGCTATTCGAATAACCAAACGCATTAAGAACAATGCAGAGATGTCTGAAAGGGTAAGATTATTAGCAACATCGCAAGACAGAACTCCTACAACGGATCCTGCCACTCCGTCAAGGACTTTTTACACTCCTACAGCTACATTTAGAGATAGTGGCCACGAGCCGACAGAGCAATCTTGAACATGTGCAACATTATGTGAGAACAGAATGTTTAGAATTTTCGTTGTAACCTAGAGAGTTTTAGGTAACGCGGCAAAGAAGCCCCACAGCAATGATCGTCAGCAAGATGAAGCCGAACATTTGCCTTCGTTGCTTCGTTCCAGCCACCACCTGTACCAACGACTTTTTCAAGGCCAGGGCTTCTGCTTCTAGTTTTGCTTGGTTCTCTCTTGTCTTTGAGTGAACTTCGTCAACAACCATGGCATCCTCTTCCTGCAAGTGTTTGTTAATCGCAATCACGTTCTTTTTGAGTATCCTGGCGACTGAGAGGCCGTCTTCGACAACCTCTTTCTTCTTGGCCTCCAGGGTCTCTGCAACAGCGCGTGCGTTGTTCGACGACATTTTTAAAATGGGGAATCGGGAGTGGTTTGGCGCCATAGCCAATGGAAGCTATGGGGAAATAGAGCAGTTAACTCCGCACATGGCCGGAACACGGAACCATCTCGGAGAAACAGCCTTGATGATAGCGGTCCGTCTTGGAGACGATCATGCTGTTAAGATTTTGGAGCCATTTGAAAGCACCCTGATAAATGCCCAGAATGAAACAGCGCTAATGATTGCCGTGCGCTATTATAACATTGCGGCGGCGCGGCTTCTAGTCAGTGCCGAGTACTGTATTAGCAAGCCGGATGGAACCACTGCTTTGCACCTGGCAACTCAATTGGGACACATAAAGTTCGTTGAACTCTTGGAGCCGTATCTGCGACACACCGCAGACAAGAGTGGAGCTCTGGCCCTTCCAGAGACACGCCCGTTGCACCCTTCTTTTCGGGATCTCGGGGGCTTTGATCTACTCAGGCTAAAGGATGATGATCTGATTGTGTCATCCACTATCTTCAAGCAGCGAGGCTCAAACATACACATCACAGATTCCTTCAACCGCCACTTAAACTCACTAACACCGTCAAAGCAGTCCCATCCAATCAGCAAAAAGAGTGCTTCATTGCCTATAGAGTCCGAAACAGCGTCAACTGAGCAGTCCTTGCATCAGCCAACCCCAGTGACTAAGCAATTAACAAAGTCTATACCACGTCCTTCGCCGCACGTTCACATAGAAATGGCAGTAATAGAGGATACAATGACTACTGCTTGTGACATCAGTACGGTCCAGTCAGAGTCATTGAAAGAACCTGATCTAGACCTCGTGGCGTGCACTGGTGTTGACGACGATGTAACGCTATTAAATAAGACATCATCTGCAAAGAAAACATACATTCATGCACAGCTGCAGGCATCACAGGTGCTCAGTGCATTGGAGACACCCTATATGGTTCCTTCTTTTGTTGTGCTGCCCACCCAATTCTACCACGGCTCTTCATTGAGTACCCAAGCAGCACAGGGAATATTTCCACTATTGATTATTAATCTCTTTGCTAAGGAGAGTACAGTCAACACCTTTGAAAGCATCGAAGAGGTGCAAGCCCGGACGCTTCTAGCACTGGAGTGCCTTGTTTGTGCGTTAGACACTGCGTATGTTACGGATCTTCCAAGCATTTTTATTTGCGCTACTCCCAACTTGGTCAGCGTTGTAGTTCCTTGTAGAGGCGCCCCGCAGCTTGAAAAAAGTATATCACATCTTTCTACAAAGGGAGTCTTCGCGACTGCTTTATTGCCTCCATTGAAAGAGAGATATATGTGCCTTGCGAAGTCCTTTTCTCCGAAGCATCTGCCGCATGCAGGCCATCTGTGCGATACTCGATACATCTGTGTCCATAAGATAACTAGGGAGAAGCTCTGCAGGCTGTGCCGGCCAAGCATGACTGCATGTAAAGTTTATCTGTTGGCTGATTCAGCAACTAGCAGCGGAACACATGATAGTGGCGTGTGTGCAGCATCTGAGGACGCTCTGTCGGGACATTTCTCCAGCTTTCTGGTTCAAGTATCCGGGGCGACTAGGGCTGAATCGCTACTAGTTTGGCTCGCCTTCAGTGGGTACGATGCTTCCTTGCTCTCGTTCTACGAATTCACAGAGATAGATCTTTCAAGCGAGATCTTCATCGAAACTTGATTAATTGATTCACCAAAAAAAAATGTCTGCAGAGGAGTTCAAGGCCCAGGGAAACCAAGCGGCCAAAGAGGGGAGGCTGGCAGACGCCATCGACTGCTACACCAAGGCCATCAATATCGACGGGTCTAACCACGTCTACTACAGTAACCGTGCGAACATCTACCACCAGCTGGAGGACTACGACGCTGCTGTCGCGGATGCAGAGAAGTGTATCGAGTTAAAGCCAAGCTTTGGAAAGGGCTTTCTGCGCAAAGCGGACGCCCTTGCCGCCATGGGAAAGCGCGAGGAAGCCGTAGAGGTACTGCGCGATGGAATTGAAAGTTGTGGCAATACAGAGCCTTTGCTTAGCCAGCGCCTTTCCTCCTTGGAGGCCAGTGCTGGTGGATTTGGCGGGGCCCCGGGCGCTGGAGATCCAGGAGCGTTTATGCGTAACATGTTCAATGCAGAGGGGATGGCCAAGATAAGGGCAAACCCGAAGACGGCGAAGTACCTTGCCGATGACCCCTCTCTGGAGCAGAAGCTCACTCTTGTAGCGTCAAACCCCCAGATGATGATGCAAGTCGCCGGAGCCGACCCGCGCCTCATGGAGTGCATGCTTGTGGCCATGGGAATCGACCCAGACATGATGAAGGACATGCCCCAGGCTCCGGGCGCGCCTTCCTTTGATGCCAAACCCGCTAACCCTGAACCACCTGCGCCAAAGGAGCCAGAGAAGGTTCTCACCCCTGAGGAAATAGAGGCCAATAAATTGAAAGACGAGGGGAACGATCTATTTAAAGAAAAGAAGTATGCTGAGGCCATCGAGAAGTATGAGGCTGCCTTTGCTAAGCACAAGAGCATACTCTTCCTAAATAACATCAGCACGGCCCTACTGAAGATGGAGAAGATAACTGAGGCGGAGGAGAAGGCAATGGAGGCGTACAATTATGGACGCGACAACCCTGGGACAGCGACGTTTGAAGAGCTTGGAAAAGCCCTTACGAAGGCGGCCTCGGCGCAGTACGCCCGCAAGGACTACGAGAAGGCAATAAAGACGCTGAAGTCTGCTATGCTTGAACACAGGTCGAAGCAGACGCTGGCCTTGCTGACGAAGGTTGAGGACGAGTGGGAGCTCATCAAGAAGCAGAACGCGTATAGTCCTGAAAAGGCAGAGAGAGCTAAGAACGAGGGTAACGAGCTTTTCAAGGCCGGAAAGTACCAGGAGGCCGTGGACAAGTACACCGAGGGACTCAAAGCTCTTCCGCTGGATCCAGAGCGCGAGTACAGAGACGACAATGAGAAGTTTACAGCCAACAAAACACTCTTGACCTCCCTTCTCAATAACAGAGCTAACGCATACTTCAAATTGGGCCAAATGAACCTTTCATATGATGACGCCGATCACATTGTTTCGCTCATCAAAGATACGACCAACACAAAGGCTCTTTTGCGCAAGGGCCAAATCGAGAGGCTCCGTCGCCAGTACTACAAGGCAGTGGAGACATACAAGAAGGTGCTTGAGCATGAAAAGTACAACAATCAGGAAGCCCTAGAGGGATATCGCAAGACGACCGAGAAGATCCAGGAGCTCCAGCGCAACCCAGACAGCAAGGAGGCCAAGGAGGTGACCGAGATTGCAATGGCCGACGAGGAAATACAGAAGATTGCATCAGATCCAGGCCTCGCCGAAGTCATCAAGCAGATTTCAACAAATCCTCAGGCGGCGCAGCAGTATCTCAGCGATCCCAACATCTCTTCTCGTATAGAGAAGCTTATCAACGCAGGGATCATACGCACCGGTCAGTGAATGTGCACTTCATTGTATATTATTCCGGGACCGGTAGGCCTTGATCAGGGCGGCGAGTTCCGGGTCCGCCGTCAGAGACGACTCCATGGCATTGAGGCCGTCCACTGCTTGCTTCGCAAGGGCAGTAGTATCTGTGGGTGGAAGGGGCGGTCGCTGCGGAGTCCTTGTAGGCGGGGTTGGAGCTACTACCGGCTTGGCACGAAGAGTTTCTATCTCGAACTTCAGATCATCTATGACAACAAGGTGAGTGTCTACGCTCTTCCTCAGCACCTCGTTTTCCGTTTCCAGGGCCACTATCCGGTTCTCAAGCCCCTCCCGCTCCCGCAGAAAGCTATTCCTCTGCTGAAGAAGCGCCTCAGTTAACTCCTGCATCATCTGCAGGATATTCTCGTTTACTTGCTGCCTCTTCAGAAGAGCCGGGTGGGCGTTAGCATCCATGGAGGGAGTTTTTTATTAGGGTCGCACCCATAGTAGACGCAGAGGCATGCGAGGAAGGGAAAATAAAATGAGCGCAGTAGCATTTGAGATAGAGACAGGCACCAGGCCCGGTCTGCCCTTGAGGGAAAACCTCTATGCTCGTTTGGTAATGGCACCTGTTACCCTAACCCACGAGCAACTGGCCCAGAAACTCAGTGCTGCTGATGGCAGGGCCAAGGCAGCTACTACTGCGAAGGCTATTAGAGCGCAGTTGGAGTCGTGCGGAGTCACCGTCAAGCGAGCGGCCGCCGTCCTTGCCGATCACCAGCAGCGCCACAAATTAGCCCAGGAGATTGCCCTTCGTCAGCTGAATGCCCTTCTGATCCGCAATACAAGGCTTGCCTACAAGAAGAACAACATTAGCAGGTACTATGCGCACATGCGTGACAAGTTGATATTTCGAGCCGTGCAGGAAAAGGTATCTCGAAGGGAGCAAGGAGAGCATCTGCAGAAAAAGCTTGGAGCCGCAGCGGCCAGGAGAACTCAATGGCTGAAAGATCGCGTGATGAAGAAGTCTGTCGCAGAACCAATAAAGTCGCTCTATGAGTTTCTGGGGCCAGTTATAGAGGCGTCGTCGTTCTCGTCCATTGCAAGTATATCGTCCATGGCCTAGCTGTCACAATAAACATTTTAAAATTATGGCCCTTTGCGCCGACAGGCCGTCCCTCCCGCCTGCGGGCGCAGTTTCTCCGCTTTCTTCAATACAGAGCATTCTGCTACACTACAGTTCTCTTTTTCAAGTCCCCCTTGGGGTCCTTGAGCTCATCTTTGGAGATGTGTGCAAGCAAATCGACGAAGCCCTCTACAATCAACCGCTGGCCCAATTAGACACAGACATACGTTTCAAGGTCCACCTCTACCGGGTCTTGGAAGGTGTGTTGACAAGGAGCACCCCGCTAACTGAGCTTCTTCCACCTGCAAAGCTCTATACCAGCGGGAATACCATTCGTGAGTTCACCATCTTCTGTGATAACTACGCGGGAGTCACAGACATAGACGATGATTCGAGGCAATTAGAGCTTTCTTCCTTTGAGGACTATCTATGCCCAGCTTGCGAGAAGCTGATGCTCTTGCCTGTTGTTTTGCACCCATGTGGCCATACCATATGCAGGAACTGCTTGGAGCGGGGCACAACTTGTTCTGTGGGTCCTCTTTCTCGCTCTGAACCTCGTTACATTACTACGTGTTCCCTCTGCGCGGCAGAAGTTACATTTGCAAACTATCAGCATGAGATGTATCAAAAGCTACGTAATAGATTTACATTCAACTGCGCGTTCCTCTCCGAAGGATGCATTTACAAGGGTCTGCTTTCTGATATGGAAAGTCATTTACAGATATGCCCCTACGCTCTCAAGGACCAGCAGACAAATGAGGATACTGCCGTTGCAATTGTGAGATTGAAGGAAAAGCAGCTACGAGGGCTTGAAGCGGACATTGGCTTGTATTCCGCTACGCTGAAGACCCTTAGTGAGCGAGTGCGACTATTCTCTGAAGGTGCAGACACGCTTTCACTGGCAGCACGTAGACTGGCTGATTTGGTGCCCTGCCCAACAGGCTCGCCATTTCCTGCTCAACTTACCCAGATCGACCACGATATTCGTACGGATCCGCTCAATCTAAATAACTTAGCTGCTAAGCTTCAGATTTTAGGCGATGCCGTGCATTCTTTTGTGTCCAGTCAAACCACGAGTACTGTCCATTCCTCTGCGATAGCTGACCAGTCTGGAAATATCGCGATGATTCACAGTCTGGAAAGTCAATTAGGTTACTATAAACAAAAGCTTGCAGACACAGAAAGGAACCTCAAGGAAGTCACCTCTAAACAAGGGTCTTTGAAACAGGAGATAGAAGTTCAACGAGCCCTTTTAGAAGAGAGCCAGCAAACCATCAACGATCTGACCACCCAGCTCTCATTGGCCAGAGACCAACTCATAGAAGTTCAAAGGTCCTGTTCGTGCGCTGTTGTCCGTAACTGTAACGAGGAGTTGGCGGCGGAGAACAAGCGCATGCAGATGTCTGTCAGTAGCCTGCAACGTATGCTTGGAGACTCAAAGCAGGAGTTAAGCGCACGGAGCGAGGAGACGGAGATGTATAAGGAACGCCTTGTTAGTCTTATGATGGACACGAACAACCTTGCAAATACACTAGTCAAGTTTCAGCTACTTACAGCAGAGCAAAACAAGCGGCTCCGCGAGATGTCTGGCCAGCTTCAGCTCTTTTACTCGGGAAAACCTGTCTGCTATGATTGCGGTTGTAAAATAGATTCTGCTACGTTAGATTCGAACACAATAATCTACACAACGACAGAATTGGTTAAGCAGTCTGAGCGCACTCTTGCAGAGGTTGCATCAGCATCGCTGGGAGTCGGAACATCTGCTGTTTCCGGTATCGATCCTTCTGCTAGTAGCCATTTCCCTCTGAAGCGCGAGTCTGAAGCAGCCCCACTGAAGTCAGAAAACGGAAGCCTCCATGTTCTTGCGTCAGATTACCCGCTTTCTCTCGAACGTTTTATGGAGGACGACATAAATATAGACATCACAGCCATCACACTGCTACGATACATCTTCCATCCGAAAGTGTTACGGAGCCGGACGAAACTGGAGCACTTTGCCAACGATTGTAAGGCTTTGTTGAGAAAAGCCATAGGCCGAGACGAGCCCCTATCAGACGAGAAAAAACTCCAGGCATTGTATCAGCTTTTAGCTAGTTTGCGGCAGTTCTATGCCAACGATTATCCCTTGGACGAGATCCTAGATTTCCTAGCTCGGTTTCAGCTCGAAAACTCTCTAATAATGCGTGACCAGTTTGGTGTAGAGGCACGGCGCTCCATAATGGAAGGGTATAAGAAAGTCAGAAGCGAAAATAGAATACTCAAGGCGACTCTTGAGCAGCTCCAGGAAAAGAAGAGCATCTACCACAGCGTGCTTGCCGAGAAGAGTCGAGGTCGTCGCATAGATTAGGTGCAAATCCACTACATCAATGGCTCGTAATGCGATTGTAAATTTACATTACATTATGTACGATCTAAGTAACTCCTCTATTTTGGATTTATGTGGAGAACTTTTTGCTTCAGAGCAGCAGACCTTGAGGGCGTCCTCGGCGTACAGATCGCCCTCACGCGGAGCCAAGAGCTTAACGGCCTCAAGGTTACCCATGGCACTGGCGTGCACAAGGGCGACACGCCCCTCGCCGTCCGTAGCACCAGACTCAAAGTCAAGAAGAATCTCTATAATGGACTGGTAATTGTAGTATGCAGCAAGAATGAGCGCGGTAGGCCTAGTAACCGTCATCGATCCCATCTTGAGTCTCACATCCATGTGGAGCTGCTTCTCAAGGGGGGCGAGCTCTCGTACTCCCTCATCATATCTCATCTTTGCTGCTAGGCCAAGCGCAGACCAGCCGGCCTTGTCAAGCGTCCCTGCTTGGTCTAAGTGAGCGCGGATGTCTTTGAGGCTCTTACGCTCAACCGCTTGCATGAGCTGATGATGTGCGTCTACGCTATGCTGCAAATCGTTGAACAAGTGCATGGCCTGTTCAGTCGAACTCAGATAGCGGGGAGACGCGATGGGGTCTGGTGCGGCGGCCATAGAATTAATTTTGGCACGGACGCAGTTGCTACAGGTCTATGTCAAGCTCGTTGAAGGTGGAGAGTGGCTCATTAACTGCGTTCCCGACGCCTATGCTCAAGCTTCTACTGGCCAGGCCCTCCCCCATGGCTCCTCCCTGCGCGCTCCGCTCCAGTGACGCTCCTCCCTCGAACTGCTTGCTGTCATAGAAATCCATTTCAGCTCCGCTCATGTTGGCCAAGTAATCAAGAGTAGAGTCGGCCATCCCACCCTCTACCCTGCCGGCGGGCTTCTTTTCATCGACAAAGTCCATCTCCCAGGCCTCTAGCTTTCTTGTAGTTGGCGTCTTTTGATGCACGCTTTTCTCCTCCAGAAGGTAGTGCGAGTCTGGGTCGAGATCCTGCATGTCGTCGAGTCGCGGGGCTGTGGAGGGCTTTATAGTGATCTCTGGACTGTCGATAAATTCGTTCAAGGTGTCATCGGGCGGGATGATCTTGCGACCAGATGGTTGCAGACTGCGCTGCTGACTACTGGGATGAGGCTCCCCGAGTCCTTGGCCTTGTACAGAGTAGCTATCCGAATAATAGTTGAGATCCACGTCAGTCATGGGTGCAGACCTTTCATATGACACCGGATTGGGCAGATCATGCGAGGAGCCGTTCGCAATTCTTCCAGATGGGGGAGGCCTTTGTGCAAAAGAACTAGGAGATGCCCTGGGAGGAGACAATCTATTTATATCATTAGCGCTGCAAAGAGACCCAGACGCTATTGCAGGCTGCTGGGAGATACTTTGATTTGTAAAAGCGCCGTGCTCGCTTTCCTGAGCTAAGCTCTGCCTCGCAACTGCTCGTTTCCGCAGCGGAGACGTCTTGGCCTGCTCTGGGACCAGTAGCCCCTGTACTCCTAGCTTTCCAAAGTCAAAGGTGTCGCTGCTGTCATCGGGAACACTGATCTGTGGCCGTGCCAAGCCGCTCTCGGTAAGACTCTGCTCTAGACTAACATGTGCCATGCTAACACTGGATTGGTTAATATCTTTATCGATCATTGTTTCTGCTGCAAGAGTGGTTGCATTAGTAGGGCGGACAGGGGTACCACCCTCAAATCTGCTGAGGGTTAAGCTCCCAACTAGCTCTCCCGCTTCTCGTGCCTGTTGTCGGTGGTGTGCGAGGGACTCTGGGGTCCTATTCGCAGTGATATTTTGCATATGCTCATCCACATGCGGTTCCTCTTCGAAATAGGAGCCAAGAGTAGCATTCTGGACTGCATAGGATGGATTTGAGGCCACGGATATGGCATGCGCCAAAGAGATGTCTAGCTCGCCACTATTTGTTGAATCAGGAATAATGGTTGAGCCTTCGGTAACGTTTTCATCGTTAAAGTCTTCCAGCTCCATGCTCTCGTTTGTGGGGCCGGTGTAGCTATCAACCCTACTTACATAACCATCATCGTCTACGTCCTGCAGATAATTTTCAGATATTCTCTGATCAGGTTCTTCTAACTGCACATCGTGGACAGGATCATGAACCTCCACAACGGCTTTCTTCGGGTCTTCGCACTGAAGCTCAAGGTCTGGGGACTCAACAGAGATGAGTGGTTTGCGCCGTCCGATGGAAGTCGCTAAATCGTTTGAAGACATGCTTCGTTCTGGAGTCTTCTGCTTCGGAGGGTGCTGCTGGATGCACACCGGAGATTCGGTCTTCTGGGCCAGGAAGAGAGAGACTGAGCCTAGTGTAGTGTTGCTTGCCTTAGAGGAGTTTCTATCGGGAAGCGCAGAGAATGAGGAAGCGGACCGTAGGGCAGGGCTTTCAAATCTGCGGCCAGAAGCAGAACCTAGAGGCTCTATAGGACCACTCTTCCCATAGTATTCCTCAAACTCATTGGGTCGCCGCACATATGAAGTGTGTGCACGCTTCTCAACAGATGATGTGATGCGCTTGTAACTAGACTCTGCAAGGGAGTTTCCTGGCCGCGGAGTTACGCGACTTTCTTCCTCAGACTCCCTCTTTCGAGGCCCGGTGCTCCGACCAAGGGATCTAGGAACCACCGGCTGGAGAATCATCGGTTCCGCCAATGAGTCCGTAATTGATGGACCACAGTCTTCACGCTCGGAGGCAGATGGCTTGCGTGACTTTTCACTACGAGGTGGTATTCTTGGAGGAGATTGGTTTGCATTCACAATAGATCCTCGTCGCTGTGACACCCCCGAGAGCGTGGGAGTGTTAGCTTCACTGGCAGTTAAAGTGGCTTCTTGAAGACTAACTTTATCCATAAATGCCCCAGATATCTCCATCACCAATGCATCGATCTCCTCTCGGTACAGGTACCCCTTAGAGCCGGCATACATAAGCTTACCGTGCACACTCTGAAGGATCGCGCGTATCTTCTTGCTATATGCTACTAGCTCATTGACACGGCGTTTGAGCCGCACACGGTCAGCGGCGAGAGATACTTGCTCTTCTTCAAGTTTAGCTAGCGCGGCCCGCAACGTTGCATTGTCTGCGCTGAGGGTCTCAATCTTCTCAACAAGATGGTCTGATGTTTGGGATGGATGAGACATCATCCTAGACTGGAGCTCTGAGAGGTCGGACGCCAACTGATCGGATCTCTGCCGAAGCAGGATCTCCTCGTTCTCCTTTTCTCGCAGAGTCCTCTTCAAGTTTGTGATTTCGATGACGTACTTCTCGTTGAGGACATGCAGGTCTTCCGTTGGGTCGGTGGGAATAATTGTTGTGATCACTGGAGCGTTGTGTTGCACGCTAACGGGGGACTGGCTGCGTAGCTCGCTGATGAGGAGGTCCTTCTCCCTCAGCTCCTCCCGGAGCCGCGTGCTTTCTGCCAGCGCCTTCTGCGCCTGTGCACTACACTCAGAGAGCTGGGAGACCTTTGCAGACAGGTCCTCCACGATTGCCTGCAGGCGCTTGTTCTCCTCCTCGTACGCTGGCAGGGGTTGCGACGCGCCCCGGGGGGCAGAGATGGTCGACCCTGCGCGCGGTGGCAGGTCTGTGCTCGGCTCGTCGGGGTGGAGGCTCAGGGCCCCGAACACGCCCTCCGAAGCTGCGCTCAGGGGCCGCCGGCCGTCCTGCGTAACGCTGATCTCGGTTGCAGAGTCCGCCTGCATCTGTAGCTGCTTGCTCTGGGCCTCCAGCTCGAGGACGCTGGCCTTTGTCATCAGGTGCAAGGCCCGGGACTGCAGCTCCCTCAAGTTTACTGCAAGCAGCTCCCTCTGTTTCTGGACCGTCTTGTACTCGAACTCCAGCTTCAGGTGGTCGCTGGACAGCACGGACAGCCGGGTCTGCAGTTCCTGCGCGGTAGCTTCATAACGATGAATTACATCCTTCAGTCTAGTGTTTTCTCCTTCTAGCACGCAGCATTTTTCAAAAAGGGCCTGTGCCTGTTGTAATTGAGCGGACGGCTGAGATTGAAGAGATGCTATTGAGTTTGAAAGGAGAGCCTCGGTTTTCTCGGCGTCTTGAAGCTTTGTATGAAGATGCATTACAGTACTGGCAAGGAGATTCTCGTTCTGGGACTTCTCGTGGAGAGCTGCAGAGGCTTGCCGTTTTGCTTCTGCTAACTCATCTTGGAGCTTTGCGTTTTCACCGCGGACGCGGGCGATTTCGTTGGAGAGTTTCTCGCATGTCCGTGACCCAGCGTACATCAAATCCTCACTCTCTTGTAACTCGTGCTTTAGCTCTGATATCTGCGTGCGCGCCGCTTGCAGCTCACGGCCGAGTCTCTCGATTGTTTGCTGAGATTGCCCATTTGCGGTCTGCAGACTCGCAACAGTCGCAGTCAGTGTGATGATCCGCGAGTTGAGATGGTGCACCTTATCCATGCTTCCGACTGGGTGCATGGACGCGGCCGACCTTTTAATTTTGTATCACAAAATTTCGCTAAATGGTAACATTTACCAATTACCACGGCTACCTTTTGAAAATCCGCCTAGCTCCATGGACCTGCGTTGCAAAAGGCTTTTCATTGTTGTCCTCATCAAAAACCACAAACTTCCGAGAGGCGTTGTTCAAGCGAAGCATCGTGGCGTCCGCCGGAAGAGCTATTTTTTTGATAAATGGAAACAACGCTATCTGGGAAAGATACTTCTCAATATAGTTTTGTGAATTACGCATACTCGCGAGAAGGATGCCTGGACGCAAGTCAATGGACATTGGTCCTGCAAAGCCCATCTCTAGCAAGATGACCAGGGTAAGCGCAACAATGGTGTGGACACTCCCCGAGCCGGCAACAAGGGTGATGGTAGGGCCAGTTTTAGAGTCCGTTCCCTGGCTTCTACAGCTGAAATCCAGATCGTCTCTTTCGCGAAATTTCAAACAGTGTTCCAATGTATCAAGGCAAAGATTTGCCAAAGCTTCATTGACTGGATCTCCGATTTCGGGCCCAGGGGTCCCTGATGTATAAGTCGTAAGAATCGCACGCATGTGCTTCAGTCTTTCGTGATTTGGGTCTACTATTCGTGTTACATGAGCAAAAGGAGTGTAACATAACACCTGTGATTTGCAAGTATAACAGTCATTACTGAATTGCAAACTTAGGGCGTGTAGTCTGACCAGTGTTTCTGTCACCAGGCGACAGGTGGGAGAGTAGTCCAGTTTGCCTGCCTCGTAAGGAATTAGAAGATAAGACAAAGAAGTCGCTATGCTAAGAGCTACATCTGTCTCTAATGCACCGCAAAGCAGTATGCCGCACTTGGCCGGAACCCTTCTGTCGAGCATCATCAGCTCGTCTGCAGAGAACTCTGTATTAGGAATGCACCGCGCTGCAGCGGAGGTTATGCATCGTTGGTGGATGGATTGAGAAGAGAAACAAGCATCTTGACGGATAGTCGACGCCGTTGCTTTGCGTGCAAACAAAGAAAGAGCCCCCTGGTACCTGTTCTGTTCCTCAGAATTAAAGGTAAGAGCAGGGTAGGGGTCAATTAGCAATCCTTCAAGGTTAGAGCTGGCCAAGAATTCCGCGACGGTTGTGTTATTCGATTGGAGGCGGCTAGCGTAGAAGGTTTCAAGATTAGCTCGCCCCTTCGTCTGGTCTGGTATATACGTTGCAAGGCTTACTGGCTGATTGAGCTTATGTATAGTCAGATTCCTGAGGTTCATGAAAAGAATCCCCGATATACCGTGGTCAAGGAGGAACTCGTAGGCTTCCAGAGGAAGGTCTGCCGGTAGACACAAGTCACGCAGTTGACGGGAAAGGGTGAGATTTGTTACAGAAGTCAGCAGATAGTGTAGTGCTAATTTTGCTCGTGTGAGAGGCTCCTCATCGGAACGTACATCTCCGCATATGATTGACTCGTTGAGCCAGAGGCGCTTGATCCCTGTCTGCGTGTATTGCGAAGACGCGCCTGCTCTTACTATTGGCGGCGTGGAGCCTTCAAGACATTTGACTAATGCCAGCGGTATTGTCGAGTTAAGAAGACCAAAGGTTTCTATGTTTGGATAAGAGAAAAAATCGTAGTGCGTGTCGTCGTCTACCTCGTCCTTTCTGCAGTCTATGAGCAAGAGAGTCCGAATGCCCTGAAGGATGCCGTTGTGCTGGATCGGAGAGTAGTTTAGCGAGATGTCGTATACTATCAGATTGAGGAGACAGTGCATTTCATTATCACGATCCTGGATCTTTGTGCAGAGGACGTCCGTGAGAGTAAGCGCTACGTTTTCTAGGACGGTAGGCAGGCCTGGTATGCTTTGTGCCAATTCAGGTTCGCCGTGCATATCTATACGAATATAGATCTGGTCGACCTCTCCCAGAATTTGAAGCAAGTCTGTCCAGCCGTCGAAGCACTGATCCGAGAAGTTTGTGGAGTCGTGATCGGCTGCACAGAGATCCTCAGATACGTATGTGGAGAAGTTAGAGCCGAATGCTGGCTCTGGATATCCACTGGGAGTGTGCTCTTTGGATAGGAGAAGATTCAGGAGGCCAGTCCAGCAGGAAAGAATAACGTCCTGCGGAGAGTGCTTCTTCAGCAGCTCCCGGGCTTCGTTACGGACATTGCTAGTATGCTGCGTATTTTCTATATGAATTAATTGAAGCATCTCTGAGACGGGGAAGTATATTGACGCTTCTTTAAGCTCTAGGCACTTCTGCTTATTAGATATCAGCTGTGCGAATGTTTTATTTACGTTATCACCGCTGCAGAGGTTGGCTAGTGACTCCAGAAGATCCTCAGACTTAGATGAGGAGTGGCTATGCGTTTCCAACGTCCCATAGTAGTTACTTAAATTTATGAGTCTCTTCCGGGCTGCAGCTAGCTCACTCCGCCTAGACGAACTTCCTGACCACCTTTCATTAACATTAGATGAGGTGCCTAGTAATCTGGGGTCCAGTTTTTTCATTGTTTCATTGATTCAGTTAGAATTTCCACTGTCAGGCTGTACATGGTCAAGTTGACAAGCCCTGTCAGCGGGTGGATCGCTCGTATCACAGCAGTGTGGAGGGCACGAACGTAAAAGGACTGCCATCTTCTTATGTTCCACCCATCAGTACTTTGGATTTCTTCATAGAAGTTACATCAGTGGGTTACAGAACTGTGACGGAGCATCTGGGGCCAGCTTGTGTGATCTAGTTGTACCTCCGCAAAGAACCTTTTTTTGAATCAAAAAATAAAACCAGATACCACATGCCAATTCCTTCTACGTACGACGAGCAGCACCGTGATATTTTGCGTTCCCTCGCCAAATATATCGAGCGGAATAATCCCCACCACCCACCGTTTGAAACTATTTTTAACGAGCCTCTTATACTTCATCGGTATGTTTCGCAAATGCGGGTGAACTGGCTGGAGGTGTCCTCAGCAGTCAACATCGATCGAAACCGTGCGTACCACTGGTATTATGAAACCCATCTGCGTAAGATTATAGATGCCAAGGTCACCTTTGATGACAAAGAGATAATTAGAGATATGATCTTGAAAGGGATCGAGGACAAAAGCATTCTGGCAAGCGATTTTCAAGCACGAATCAAGAGCAGAATGAGCAAGGAGTACCATCGCGCGGAATTTACTATGACATATAACAATATCCTCCGGAGTAAGGCGGTGAAGATGGCGATGATGAAGGCAGGAGTATCTCTTTCTGGAAAGAAGACAAGACTAGACATAACAGATGAGTTCTGTGCGCGTCGGACGAAGGGAAGCACGCTAATGTACTCGGGCACTTCTGGCGCGTCATCTCCGAATTACGTAGCATACAACGGGCAGAAAACGCACGGATCTAGCATTGTTGGCTTGCCGGGATCCAGGATGGGAGCCCTCACGCCACAAAGCAGGGGGTCCCACAGCGATATTAACATAGGCCCAGGAGCGCATAGTGTAGGCTTTACCAGCACAATGCACTCACACGCGTCTACCCCTGGCTACTATACGCCGCGCACATACGGCACCGAGGTGCAGACCCCGGTTGGATACGAAGAGGGCGAGGGGGCAAGTCTGGACTCCCATCTCAGTGACAACATGCGGTTATCCTTTCCGTCTATTGACATTGGAGGTAATAAGCAAGTGCTGGACGGCAGCGGCCTGGGCTTATCGAGCATTCCAGACCCGTCCTTGATCCCCAATTCTTATTATCTTAGAACACAGGCCCAGCATGCGCCGAACTGGCGCGGGGTCAATACCCTTGCCTCCGGGGATTTTTCTAAGCACATTCCTCTGACCATGTATCAACAGCTCAGGCAGGATCAGCCGCTTAATAACTATGTGGGTGCCCCCCAAGGAAACATGTTTCCGCATCGGAGTAACCGGTTAAGTTATGAATCGTCCCCTATCATGGTTGCTGATAACGGGACTCCTCTGCAGCAGCCTCATTCAGCGGGTCTGTACATCGAAAACATCCCTCCTGCGGGACAGCAGTCTGTACCACCTACCGATGACCACCGTCAGTACCCCGCTGGACTGTCGCACAACGGAACCAGCATGTCGTGCAATCATAGCATTAACGTTGGGTACCCTTCCAATATGAGCAACGGCGGTAACTCCATATCGAACATGGGCATGTGCTTTCAAGGGCAGATGCATCATGTGCCCAGCTTCTTGAACTTCGTACCCAACAGTATGCAGCATACCATGCCACTCGGAGTCGATGCTTCGTTTACTGCGTACGCACCGTACGGCGGCATGCAGAATGCCGTCGGTATTAATCGCAACGAGACGCCATTATCCTTCGGAGAGATCGATCCATTCTCCTCTCAGCAGGCCGTCAAAATGCCTCTAGAGTTCCTGGACGGCTTCTCCTCCACAAGAACAACCACCATGCCCGGTTTAGCTATGTCTCAGTCCGGAGCTGAACCTGAATCCGGTGAGGTAGGTTATTTCAAGACAGCCCCTGCTCCGATGTATACGGATGGCAGGGAGTACAGTATAGGGGCGGCCTCCAATGAAAGCGGAGCGCCAATCAAAGAAGTCAGGGAAGCTCGAGAGGCCACGAATCCCATTGTTTCAGAATCAAACCAACAGGAGGTCAAGAAGGATGACTTTCCATGGGATCAGCTTGGGGAAAAACTAAAGCCCTTGTGGGACAGGTCATCAGCGGCCCTGTTAGAGTAAATGAGTTATGCGCCATTGCGCTGCTTGAGCTTTACTTCAAGATGCTCTATTTTCCTCTCAAGGGCTAGTATTCGCTCGTTCTTCACCGCAAGAAGTTTTTCCAACGTGGCAATCTTCTGTTTGAGGAGAGTGTTCTCTTCCATGAGGTCTCCGTTAGCAATGCTTGATCCGTCGTGCAGGTCGGCCAAGCCAATAGAAGTGTTGCTGACTGGAGGGGGCTGGGGAGGAGGAGCCACTCGAAGGGTAGGTGCAGGAGCGGGCGTATGCTGCTGGTTTGCAGCAGAAGCAGTAGCTACGGAAGGAGCTGAGCGACTGGGGGCCGAAAGATGCCTTTGAAGGCGATGCTCGTCTCCTCGCGGGTCGGATCTCGAAGGATGCTCCTCGCTTCTTGCACTTACGCGCATAATGGCCGAGCGAACCCGGATCAGCACGCGTTCAATTGCGCCTGGCTTTGCAGAAATGAGCGCATCAATCTCGTCGGCGCTCAGCTTAAGCTGGAGCCTTTTGAGCACCTTCTGCTGTAGGGTCTCCCAGTTCTTTCTCTTGGCCTCGGAGTTAGTCGTAGATTGATAGTTGTGAAGCTCCACAAGCTTGGGGAGAAAGTGATGGATAACCTCTGCAAGCAGCACGCCATCGGCAAAGTCGCGCGAGATGTAGCCCTTAGACCTTGAAAGGGGTATTCCGTCGACCCATAGATAGATCTCATGCCGGGCCTCGTCGTCTAGCGCCACATGGGTCATTTCGTATGTGTTCCAGAATGCAGTGAACAGCTAAAATAATACGCCATAATGCATAAAACAAAGCTTAATGGAGTTCACCGAGCAAACCTATCTCTTCCTACGTCAGGACACAGACAATGATGAGGAGTCAGTAAAATTATATTCATCTGAAGAGTGCAAGATAGTCATATCTGCATTGCAGAGCGTGTTAACCCTTTTAGGCGGATCAGCAGGGACACAACTTGCCAAAAGGCTCCGGAACAAACTGAACAATGACGCAGTATCTTTTCTGGATTGCATAGAGCGGATGTGGGCGAGTTTGCGCAGCGAGAACGGGATTACGCTGCATTTGCCAGTTTCGCTCCTGGATCTTCTGACAAAGTCGACTCTGGGCTCCCAACAGGGGGCGTTCGAAAATGAGGAGATGGATCTACGCTTCTCTTTCGAATTGGACGGGAGCGGAGGAATCTTCCTGAAGCGGCGCGATGGGAGTGCGCGCGTTTCATTGCAGCGGACAATATCTGATGTCGACAAGGAGGAAGAGTGGCTCCCCTATGTGCTCACCTCTGTGAACCGCATCTTTAACGAGAACAAGGAGAAGCTGATGTCGAATACAGCTATCGCGTGGTCGCCGGGGCTGACCAAATATGAGTGCCTAGCCACGACTGATTCGCGGCAGTCACAAAAGTCTTCATACACTCTTACATACTCCAAGGCACCACAAACATACCCAGTTGTCGTATACACTAAACGAGGTTGGACCCCGGTTTCGGAAAGGACCATTTACGGACTTCCCCAAGCCGAAACCAGGAAGCTCATCAGGCAATTAGTTAGCTTGCTGAATAGTTACCAGTCTAACATGGAAACCAGACCCAACGGACAGTTCTTAGCAGAGAAGTTCGCCAAATGCGGCAAAAAGACCATGCCTTTACCGGGGTTTCGCTGGCCGCTGGCCGTGGCATTTCTTCCATGCCTTGCAGATTTTCATAGTCTCAAGCACGTCACACAGCATGCTTTGAAGGGCGATACTGACGAGTACAGAATATCTCCAAATATGAGCGAAATTCAAGTATTACAGGACTATGAAACTCTCAAGGCAAAGCTAAAGAGCCTTGCACGAAAGTGTGGGAACAACCTGGAGAGTGCGGCATCTCCTACGCATACGGAGCCAGCGCAGGCTAAATTGGCAAAGGCCGATAAGCAAATGGTTGAAAAGCATCCAGAACAGGCAGAGGAACATGCAGTCTCCATAAAGGAATCCCCTAGCATAGCACAAATAGAAGAGCCCAGAATGCCTGCTCGCAAGGTTGCACTAGACAAGTTATCTCAGTTAAAGGCAGTCAGCATGGCGCACACCATTCTAGACCATTCTGCTCAGCATGCGCCTCAGAGCTCCAGCGCTGTGCGTGAAAAAGTGGTGACCGCAGTTAAGGAGCAGGTCCAAATGGAGTCCGCCGTCCGCTCTGTGTACGATCCCCCGGATAGAACCGCAGAGCTAGCCACCTTGGTATCAGGCATACGACAGGGTGGTGGAAGTAGAATGCGAATTATAGAGCAGCTCATTCCTAGTATACGATCTATCATGGACGCCAGAAGGGGCTATCTACATCAAAAACTGAAAGCAGGGCCTGCACAGCACGCTGCCCTGCAGCTCTGGGACGCCTTTCACAACGACGTGATGCCCCCAAACATATTTGCCGAATTGCTCCTGAACATAGAGAGCGACTTGGAGCTGTACACCTTTTACGGCATATTTCGAGATATCGTCTATGGCATGTATCTGGGCATGGACACTCGGGGGCATTTACAGCTGCTGTGCACGTCTGTACAGTCCTACTTCAGCTACGAACTCTATGCAGAGTCAACAGAAAACATGAAGAAACGAGTTTCTATAAACACCCTTCTTGTTAATACAAGCGAAAACTGTGACGAATCCAGGGTCCCAGACACCTGGATTAATCACTACCAGACCCTACTGCGCGAGATCTTCGGGCTCCTCAAGGAGGGAACGCAGGCACAAATTAAACAGGTTATACGTTTTGAAGACGAATTTCTAGATACAGTCGGCCCTATGTGAGCAGCCAGTGCTCACACTCCCCAGTCCGGCGGGAGTACTGATCCATCATTGTGCGAAGCGCGTCGAACATGCACTTTCTATTTTGCACAGAGATGAGGTGGTCTGCCTTTTGCTTTAGTAGATTATTTGTCCGCATTTGCCTTTTCATGCGGTTTACTGCATCAGTGTACCTATGTAAATGACGGAGGTACGTCTGCTTTGTGTACCGTCTATGATGTAAGATGGCCCGTGCAAGAGACAGCCAGGCCCAAAAGTGGACAGGGAGCGCCCACCGATAGGAAAGTGGCAAGACTCGCCTTTCCGCAGCGGCAAGAAACTGGGCTTTGTCGAACCAATGCTGAAAGATCAGTGAAAGTTCCTTCCGCTTTAGAGTCTCCTCATAGCGCACTGCCGCTGCAAGCATGGTTTGCTTGTTGGCTAAGTTCCGGCGCCCAGAAAGCATGCATCGTCTAAGAAGTGCAGTTCTTCTAAAGACATCGGCAGCTGCCTCGGCCTCGGTGCGTTGAGTCTTCTTGGCAGCAGCATAGGTCACCAGGGCATCCATGGATGCCCGCATAGTACGTAAGTAGTAGAGTCCTCGCACCAACTGTTCATTTAAGAGGAACTCCTCTGCCCGGGCCACGATGGTCTCGTATGCTTGGCGAAGAAGGTGCTTGTTCAGGCGTCTACAAAGATCCTCCTGCAAGGCAGCAATCTTAAGGCGGTGCTTGCAGCGCGTGACCCACACGAAGAACGCCCGCTTAGTTAAGCAGCTATCCATACTAATGCGAGCCATATCGCAGCTTCGTTGGAGCTGTGCGGACCTGCGATTCTTGTGAGTCCATACAGAAAATGCTGCGCGCTTTAGGCGACAGATAGTAAGTGATGTAAGGTTAGCTTCTAAGACCCTGAGTCTATGTGAGTTAACAAGCTGCGCAAACGCTCTCTTTAGACACGAAAGATTGGATCGACGAGTTAGTAGATTGATGCGCTGATTTGTATGATATATCTCTGCTAAGTGTCTAAAATATACGCGCAGAACAGCCCTCCGTGCAGAGGCAGAAATAAGGCTATGAAGTTTCTGCAGCGCTGCTAGCCGGTGTCTTAGTGCTGCAAAAACAGCGCGCGCACTTCGGACGTATGCTAGCCTGGAGACACTGACAACTCTGCGTGAAAGTGACAGGGAATAAACTAAATGATCAAGCGTATAGCGCAGTAACCTGGTGCGAGTCCGCTGCTCAATAGCTACTTCGCAGTACTGAAGATGAAAAAGCAAGGCTTGCATGCACACCCATGCCTGGCGCAATAGACGAGCGTCCACCAGAACCTCTATGTCATGCCCTTTTTGGACAAGGGCGAGGGCTGCCCGCCATGAACGCCACGCAAGGCTCAGCACATGGGTCGTAACAATGCTGACTACCGCGCCCTCCTGCTGAGTAAGTTTGCTGCTCTTTTTGGCATAGAGCTTCCACTGTAGAAGATACCCGCGAAGGCTCATCAAATCTCCCTTAGATACGTGTGCATTGAGCTGGTGATTGAAGGTCTTCTCACTATCGGCAAACGTGCTCAGCAAGGTCGCCACATTGGATTTTAGCCGCTCAATCTGTTCGGCAGACAAGTGTGCCAGTCCGTTTTTGACTCTGTGCTCTGTATTCCGCTCACGAATGAGCTCTCTGTGTTGTTGCACAAGATTGGAAAAGAACCTCTGAAGAAGGCATCTGTTGACCAACCGGGTTAAAGCGATTCCCTTTATTGCCAAGAGGATCGTTTGCATGGCCTGCTTAAGCAGGTAGCCATTATATCTACGACGGAGCTCCTCTGCGATCTCTTTGCGCTTGAAAGCCTTTTGGGCAGACAGTTGGCGCATAGACCGAAATATCTTTCCCGCCACATAGATGTTGCGCTGGTGCTCACGGATGTTGTTATGTCTGTCAGCTGTTCGAGCAAGACCAAATAGCCAAGAAAGCTCACGATACGCCGTGCGAAGAACCCGAGTGCCCTCTTTCTGGGACAGGTATTGCTCACAAGACCGGAACTCTTGGAAAACTCCTCTCCATGCTTGAAACGCGCGCGCCTTGTAGTCTCTTTCGACAGCTGCTATCTGCTCCCCGGCTATAAGTATCAAATCACGCACATCGGCTGTGCGCCACCTCCACTGCCTAAAAACAGTATTCCGTACCCGGACTAGTATATTTGTATAATGACCAGACGCTAGTTCGTACCGAAGTCTTTGGGTACTGGATGCCTCTAGTATACCTGAAAGCGTGCGGTGCATTAGACTGAGACAGCTTTTAGAGTAAATGGCTTCTCCACGCATCTGTCGATCGTGGACTTGCAGAATGGACTCAAAGGCTCTCCGATAGAGATAGTAGTCACGCAAGATGGATGCATTCTGGTATCGCACCAGATAGAGGATTACATATCGTGTATGCAAGTTTCTAAATGCGGTAGATAAGAGCGTATAGTTGGACCTTGTAACAAGCGCCTCCTCATTTCGACTAAGCACAAGTTGGAAGAGATAAACGTCATGCATCATCCTAAGGCTTCGCCGCATAAGATTTAAGTTCAGACGCGAAGCAATAGTTTGCATTGTGCGCGAAAAGTGCACTTTAGTACGCATAGCATCAAACAAACGACCGATCAGAAATTGATTGTACCGCTCAAGTGCGATGCAATCAAATTGGAACAAGCGCACTCCCTTTCGGAACCGCGCAAACGTAATAGCTTTTATGCGCTTGGAGAGCGCTAGCTTGGAAGTGTGTGCGTGCCTCCGAAAGGCGTTGAAGCCGGCCTCCATGACGAAAAGCTGATAGGCATTGGCGGCGTGTATGGCGCGCAGATAATCGACGTTTCGGCGCAGGGAGCTAATAGTAATGGGAAGCATGCCAGAAATTAAATGAGGCTTCATAGAGAACAGCGTTTGAAGAAAGACTACCATTGCGTTGTTTCTGACCTGGGGGTCTTTTTCCGGAAGACCTTGTTGATCGCTTTCCTCTTTCAGCGCCTGCAGATATGCCGTATAAAGGCTGCGCGCGTGCACATTTAGTAGCACAGCGTGGGCATTCCTCAAAGAGGGGACGTATGCCGTGAGCCAAAGGGCACAGCGAATAAATTGCAGGACCCGATTTTTCTGGCGTTGCTCTATGAACTGGGGTGTTATCCCCAAAACAGATAAAAATGACATGCTAGTCTCCAATGGACGGGGGTCTTGTAAGCCAGACGAAAGAGCGAGGTCTCGAGGAAGAGTGCGCCTGCTATCGCGGAGCTGTCTGTCACTTCCCTCATAGAGTCGCTCGAGAAGAATATATGGGCTTATGAGTCGTGTGGCCTCTCGCCAAGCACTGAAGGCAGTGGCTATAAATTGAGCCTGGTGTGCTCTATGAAACTCTTTTGCAATGGGAAGTAGCCGCTGCCACCGCAAGAAGTGCAATCGCATGGCACCAAATGTACGCGCAAGGAGATGATCGGCACGAAGTACGCTCTCGCGGACCTGTGCCTCCAGATCGAGGCCACGTAGATACTTCTGTCTCCATGCGGTCAAAGCCTGTTGTGTGCGCTTGAGTGAAATCTTTTTCTGAAACCAGTCTGCATAGGCTTGTAGCTTTTCCTCGCGGACAGTAATTGCTTCAACCTTTGATTCGCTGAGGTGGCCAAGTTGTGAACTAAGGAATTCGCTTTGCGTATACAGGCCTGCAACTGCACCTATTGCGTCTAAAAGCTGGGATCCAGAGTTGCCAGATGACATCATTGCGTCGTCACGAGTTCTAAAAGGATTGGAGGCCGCAACGCTGTTCAGAAACTCGAGGCTTGGAAATGCCTGGTTAGCGCCGACCAGATTACTGCTGAAAGCGCAAATATCGGATGGAAACCCGCTAACTTGACAAGCGTTGACCTCATTAGCCGGTAAACCCGGTTGCAATGCTTTCTGATCTTGGAGAGCAGAATCGGGAGTTAATGAGGTTTCAGAAGAGTAAGTGCTTTGGTAATAGTAGTCCTCTACAGGTTCGGTCAAACTGAATGAAGATCGCTGAAGTAGCATGCTGGCTCTACTGTTGTAAGCATGCACTAAGCCTTGAAATGCAAGGCGCTTGGATCGAGAGTGAGAGTACGCATCTACAAGAATATTAAGGGCCAGCTCAGCCTTATACTGTTTGAGGCACTTCTTCCAAAGGTCGTAAGGCACGCCCTCGCTATGTGGGATGACGCTCAATCGGGACCCAGCGGAATCGCAGTTGCGCGCCTTAGACTTCGACTTCAATCGCAAAGCAAGAGCGCAGAATTCCTCGTCAACCATGGTGCTCAGCTTTAATATTCTGCAGTAAAGCGAGCCCTCCTCGCCGTCATATATGCCACGGCCATTCATGTGAGCTCTGTAGGTCTGTATGAGATCTTTCAGCATGATTGCCCCGTTTGGAGAGCAGCTAAGGGCTGCCGTTTCATGTAAGATGTCCTCGAGCTCCTGCATCCGATCCTCCGCCTCAGAGATAGCATTTTGATACAAAACCGATAGCATCGGTTCTGAACGAGAATAAATTAACTCGAGGCCGAAGGTAAAATACGGCGAGAACCTTCACTGCATACGCTGAGCATTTGCTGCTGAGATATTCCTCGTCGAGAAATTGTAGACAAAGACAAATCTCCGAAAGTTTTTGCATCCTTCATAGATACAGAACTCTGTCTGGCAACACAGCCTTATCTGCAGAGTGAACCATCAAAGTCAACTCTCTGCCGAAGTGGGCATAGACACGAGCGGTTCTAGGGACAAGGTGAGGTAGTTAAGGCGCGGAGAAACCGAGCAATCGGCGAAAAGCGTGTCATCCTTCAGGCTGCTCAGGGGCCACTGTATTGCTCATAGCATAGCTAAGCTGAGCCTCGCTCACAAGCACCAATCCGTGCGCTCTAAGGCATGTGTGTCTCAGTTATATCCAATGTGAATCGATAGGCACATTATTTCAGGGTGTCCATGTCAATCAGGTATAAAGGAAAACATGCCTCTTTACGTAGCGCAATTGCACCACATGGATTACTAACTGCCCTTTCTTAACAGAAGGTTGCAGCCTGTGACTGCGACTGGAGGTCGTAGAATCGTTGCACTCACGGTGTCGGTGTCACCGTCTCCAGGGATCAGAAAGATGGTCACTGGATGCTGTAGAACTGCCAAGTAAAGCTCGAGGCAGGGAATGGTAAAAGTGGCATCATATCCATCGAGGGTCTGTGGATGGGCATCCGAGCCCAACAACGCCTTGTCCGAGGAGAACGACCGCCACAAAAGCATACCTGGAACTAGGGACAGGGAAGCAAATATGGAGGAGCTAATTGCAGATACGCACGCAAGAGATTGCGCCAGCAGCTCGGATAGAGAGCTGCAGCTCGCAAACTGACGCTCCAAAGCAGTAACAAGAGCACCATCGTCAATCAGTCGAAGGGAATCCCCTGCTCGGATGCATCGCGGGCATGACGTCGTTAGTCTTGCAGTTATTTGAAGATGCTTAAGAAGGGCTGCTTCGTGTGTGCCCAAAGCATACGGTTCAGAGGCCCTACCCTGATACGACGTGACGCAGAGTGGATACTGGGCGGCTGCTTCCTGATGCACATCGTCGAGAAACCCCATAAGCATGAAGCCTTCCGTTGAAACGGTTCCATAGTCTCGCACAGTGTGGGCCCCTATCTTGTAGGCGGTCGCAGTGTTCTGACGCAGCGACTGCTTAAGGGGAGGATTTAACAACAGGCTCTGGACCTCAGCCATGGCGTTGTCAAAAGAGCCGCTGGCCACTTTCTGTTGTCGCCACGTTGCCCAATTGTAGCTTACGTGCGTGGGGCATAGGGCATGGATAACATCGTATGTATCGAACCCCTCCTCCCATATTCCCCCGCCCGCTAGGACCAGGCACAGGGGATGGTAGCTACTAGTGCATCCAGTTGGGGCACGACATACCATCGTGATCCCGTTGCTGGTCGGCTTGCTCGCACACCAAAGGCAAGGCCGTTTCTTAAATTGCTCCCGCATGGACTCCAATCGTAAGTGGGCTGCGGGGGTTATCTGAATTGTTGAGTCGTCCGGGGAATACACCAGAGAGGGAAATATCCGGAAGCATAGGCAGTGAACAAACCTCGTCGCCGCTGGCCTCCCGATTATGACATACTCCTTGCTGCTAAAGCCAGACAAGGAGAATCCACAGAGAAAGCAGGGGCCTTCGAACTCCTGGGCGCAGGCTTTGCAGAGCCAGCGATCTGCAGCAACCTCGGCGTCAGAAATCCCATAACACGCCTGGTGGACAGCACAGTTACACGAGTCGCAAAATACTATCTGGTTGTCGCTATTGAAGTCTCCACAAAGGCAAACGTCGCACACTTCATCGCCGTCATATATCATTATATTTTGCGGCACTGATTTACGCATCAGCGGCTTCCCTCTTGGCTAATTACCGAGGGCCAACTTCTTTTAGCACTCATACTGCGTCGTTCGTTTTTTGTTAACACCTCCGTAGCGTTGTGATCGAGCTGACGTTCCGACGAACCTGTGCTTCTTTTTCTGGCCAGTCAGTTGTATTGCTATTCTTCTTTGCCCAGCAACCTGTGCTATTCCAAACTTGTTGCCGGCGTATCCACTTGGCTTCCTTACCTTCCAAGAAAGAAGGAGCCGACTATGTGTCACAAGATTCAATACTGTCATATGGAAATAGGGCTTCTAGCGACCAAGCCACGGAGCCATTTACTAAAACACAAATTGATCAGGCTGTTGCTGTTGCTGTTGCTGGGGCTGAGGGGCAGTGTAGTCGTTATTCTGAGGGGCAGATATGGGAGCGGGAGCTGTTCTACCCGTCCTCCTTTCTTCTCTGATCTTTGCTGAACGAGCTACGCGCGTCATCATGAACTTGTAGATGGAGAAACAACTAAATATGCCCTGTGAAATCGCGTATAGTATGATAGTAGCGTTAAATTTGAATGTTATTATCTTTATTGTGGACGAGACAATGTTAATTATGAGAACTATTACCCAGAATAAAGGGAGCACCCAGAGAAACGTCCAGAACGTTATGGCCTCGCACTTGTTGGCCTTTGTCTGCGTGTCGTATTCATAATGAATGTAAGACTTTCCATCAACTCCGTAGATATGATAGCGAAGACGCACCATACGTCTGCCAGCGATGTGATGCGTAAACCACTCGTCCATCACAGTAAGTAGCATAGCAGGGGGAAGGAGTTTTACCACGCCCAAATCTATTCCAAGCATAACAATAGCTAACACAGGAGAAGCAGACTTAAGTATGATGAAAAAGGAGTAGACCACCACATGCTCTAAATTGCACTTCGATTGTTTCTTCTTGGGGGCTGATTCGGAGCTTTGCTGAGGAAGAGCGAACGGGTCTCCAGGGGCTTGCTGTGCCGGAGCATTGAAGTCAAAGTCCATTCACTTTTTTAAAATGAAGATTATTAGGGTGCGCCGCAGATTTCAATAGCCCCCTTCTTCTACAAATCCACTAAACATGGAAGTATCTTGTCATATGTCTACTGCGCGCCTTCTACCTTGTAGGCTATACCTTTCTGATCTGAGTAAACGTCTCTGCTAATCGGTATTGGCATTGCTAATTGATCACGCAGGAACTGCAGACCCGGCTGTCCGTGCTGTCCAGCGACCACCTGAAGCTGGAGTTCGAGTACAAGACGGTCCAGAAACAGAGGGAGCTGCTTGCAGTAAACTTGAGGGAGCTGCAGTCCCGGGCCTTGCACCTGATGACAAAGGCCAGCGTCCTCGAGCTGGAGGCCCAGAGCAAGCAGCTACAGATGCAGGCGGACTCTGCAACCGAGATCAGCGTTACGCAGGACGGCCGGCGGCCCCTGAGCGCAGCTTCGGAGGGCGTGTTCGGGGCCCTGAGCCTCCACCCCGACGAGCCGAGCACAGACCTGCCACCGCGCGCAGGGTCGACCATCTCTGCCCCCCGGGGCGCGTCGCAACCCCTGCCAGCGTACGAGGAGGAGAACAAGCGCCTGCAGGCAATCGTGGAGGACCTGTCTGCAAAGGTCTCCCAGCTCTCTGAGTGTAGTGCACAGGCGCAGAAGGCGCTGGCAGAAAGCACGCGGCTCCGGGAGGAGCTGAGGGAGAAGGACCTCCTCATCAGCGAGCTACGCAGCCAGTCCCCCGTTAGCGTGCAACACAACGCTCCAGTGATCACAACAATTATTCCCACCGACCCAACGGAAGACCTGCATGTCCTCAACGAGAAGTACGTCATCGAAATCACAAACTTGAAGAGGACTCTGCGAGAAAAGGAGAACGAGGAGATCCTGCTTCGGCAGAGATCCGATCAGTTGGCGTCCGACCTCTCAGAGCTCCAGTCTAGGATGATGTCTCATCCATCCCAAACATCAGACCATCTTGTTGAGAAGATTGAGACCCTCAGCGCAGACAATGCAACGTTGCGGGCCGCGCTAGCTAAACTTGAAGAAGAGCAAGTATCTCTCGCCGCTGACCGTGTGCGGCTCAAACGCCGTGTCAATGAGCTAGTAGCATATAGCAAGAAGATACGCGCGATCCTTCAGAGTGTGCACGGTAAGCTTATGTATGCCGGCTCTAAGGGGTACCTGTACCGAGAGGAGATCGATGCATTGGTGATGGAGATATCTGGGGCATTTATGGATAAAGTTAGTCTTCAAGAAGCCACTTTAACTGCCAGTGAAGCTAACACTCCCACGCTCTCGGGGGTGTCACAGCGACGAGGATCTATTGTGAATGCAAACCAATCTCCTCCAAGAATACCACCTCGTAGTGAAAAGTCACGCAAGCCATCTGCCTCCGAGCGTGAAGACTGTGGTCCATCAATTACGGACTCATTGGCGGAACCGATGATTCTCCAGCCGGTGGTTCCTAGATCCCTTGGTCGGAGCACCGGGCCTCGAAAGAGGGAGTCTGAGGAAGAAAGTCGCGTAACTCCGCGGCCAGGAAACTCCCTTGCAGAGTCTAGTTACAAGCGCATCACATCATCTGTTGAGAAGCGTGCACACACTTCATATGTGCGGCGACCCAATGAGTTTGAGGAATACTATGGGAAGAGTGGTCCTATAGAGCCTCTAGGTTCTGCTTCTGGCCGCAGATTTGAAAGCCCTGCCCTACGGTCCGCTTCCTCATTCTCTGCGCTTCCCGATAGAAACTCCTCTAAGGCAAGCAACACTACACTAGGCTCAGTCTCTCTCTTCCTGGCCCAGAAGACCGAATCTCCGGTGTGCATCCAGCAGCACCCTCCGAAGCAGAAGACTCCAGAACGAAGCATGTCTTCAAACGATTTAGCGACTTCCATCGGACGGCGCAAACCACTCATCTCTGTTGAGTCCCCAGACCTTGAGCTTCAGTGCGAAGACCCGAAGAAAGCCGTTGTGGAGGTTCATGATCCTGTCCACGATGTGCAGTTAGAAGAACCTGATCAGAGAATATCTGAAAATTATCTGCAGGACGTAGACGATGATGGTTATGTAAGTAGGGTTGATAGCTACACCGGCCCCACAAACGAGAGCATGGAGCTGGAAGACTTTAACGATGAAAACGTTACCGAAGGCTCAACCATTATTCCTGATTCAACAAATAGTGGCGAGCTAGACATCTCTTTGGCGCATGCCATATCCGTGGCCTCAAATCCATCCTATGCAGTCCAGAATGCTACTCTTGGCTCCTATTTCGAAGAGGAACCGCATGTGGATGAGCATGTGCAAAATATCACTGCGAATAGGACCCCAGAGTCCCTCGCACACCACCGACAACAGGCACGAGAAGCGGGAGAGCTAGTTGGGAGCTTAACCCTCAGCAGATTTGAGGGTGGTACCCCTGTCCGCCCTACTAATGCAACCACTCTTGCAGCAGAAACAATGATCGATAAAGATATTAACCAATCCAGTGTTAGCATGGCACATGTTAGTCTAGAGCAGAGTCTTACCGAGAGCGGCTTGGCACGGCCACAGATCAGTGTTCCCGATGACAGCAGCGACACCTTTGACTTTGGAAAGCTAGGAGTACAGGGGCTACTGGTCCCAGAGCAGGCCAAGACGTCTCCGCTGCGGAAACGAGCAGTTGCGAGGCAGAGCTTAGCTCAGGAAAGCGAGCACGGCGCTTTTACAAATCAAAGTATCTCCCAGCAGCCTGCAATAGCGTCTGGGTCTCTTTGCAGCGCTAATGATATAAATAGATTGTCTCCTCCCAGGGCATCTCCTAGTTCTTTTGCACAAAGGCCTCCCCCATCTGGAAGAATTGCGAACGGCTCCTCGCATGATCTGCCCAATCCGGTGTCATATGAAAGGTCTGCACCCATGACTGACGTGGATCTCAACTATTATTCGGATAGCTACTCTGTACAAGGCCAAGGACTCGGGGAGCCTCATCCCAGTAGTCAGCAGCGCAGTCTGCAACCATCTGGTCGCAAGATCATCCCGCCCGATGACACCTTGAACGAATTTATCGACAGTCCAGAGATCACTATAAAGCCCTCCACAGCCCCGCGACTCGACGACATGCAGGATCTCGACCCAGACTCGCACTACCTTCTGGAGGAGAAAAGCGTGCATCAAAAGACGCCAACTACAAGAAAGCTAGAGGCCTGGGAGATGGACTTTGTCGATGAAAAGAAGCCCGCCGGCAGGGTAGAGGGTGGGATGGCCGACTCTACTCTTGATTACTTGGCCAACATGAGCGGAGCTGAAATGGATTTCTATGACAGCAAGCAGTTCGAGGGAGGAGCGTCACTGGAGCGGAGCGCGCAGGGAGGAGCCATGGGGGAGGGCCTGGCCAGTAGAAGCTTGAGCATAGGCGTCGGGAACGCAGTTAATGAGCCACTCTCCACCTTCAACGAGCTTGACATAGACCTGTAGCAACTGCGTCCGTGCCAAAATTAATTCTATGGCCGCCGCACCAGACCCCATCGCGTCTCCCCGCTATCTGAGTTCGACTGAACAGGCCATGCACTTGTTCAACGATTTGCAGCATAGCGTAGACGCACATCATCAGCTCATGCAAGCGGTTGAGCGTAAGAGCCTCAAAGAGTAATTCTGACTGGAATCTTCAAAATAATTTACACCGATTACTTAACAAAATCAAATAACGAGCCCAACAGTATGGTTAGTGTATTGAACTGGCGGGTCTTCCAGGTAGATCACGCCGTCGCGAAGCACCATGTACGACTTGACCATGCTGTCACACAAGGTCTTTCCGCGCGCACACGTGGCGAACTTGTCTATCTCAAAGGCCTTTCCCCAAACTTTAGCAAGTGCGCCCGAAGAAAGCTTTTGGACAAGGCCCAGAAGACTGTGGGAAGAGTTGAGAACCAAAAGGTAGTATCCCTGGGAATCGACTCGAGCCCTAATGATCTTGGCGTGATGCTGGCAGATGATCAGCCGCAAAACGTAGAAGAGAGCAGGACTATTGGTCCCCGGCAGCCCTGGCATGGACGCCCTCGGACCAGAGTCCTCCTGCCTTTGCGACGAGAGAGAAGAGAGCCGAAGCGTTGTGTCTGGCTGCGCTGTGGAAGTGCCGCAGCAGTCGATAAGCGAAATAGCAGTGGGCATGGGCGTCTTCTGCTCACGTAGCTGAGAAGAGGCACTGCATGTCATTGGCTTGGCAAGAACCAGGGGAGACGATGCGCGCAACGAAGGCGAATGTCGTTGGGCCGCCCTTATCTGAATCGGGCTGCTAACGATGGAGCCCAGGCCGCTGCTGATAGCACCGTCAGGCAGCAGTGAGGGGGCACAGGCACCTATGTTGGGCTTGTAGGATACCAGCGAGCTAGAAATGCAATCTCTGCTCTCTTCTACCTCCGCCTCAGAAACGGCAGACTGAATCGGAAGGGTGATATCGCTCGTACAAATTCTATGAGTAAAAGCGAGGGATGGATTAGGTTCGTCTATGATTCGAGAGACAAGCGGCTTAAGGGAATTATACATGGAGTTGCGAGATTCGAAGAGCGAGCGGCTGTGGCCGTTAGACCTTCCCAGAGTGTTGTTCATCGGCGTCCGGGAGGCTGCGCGCTTGCACTGAAGAAGCAGGTCCTCAAGCTCCAAGCGAGGACTTGCAGCCTGCCCATGCGCCTTCGAGGTGGGGGCAGCACGCATAATACAGAGTTGTTTTATTGGAGCAAAAAAGAGATTCAATGAACTTTGGCGCCCCGTGGGACAGCCTGAAAAAGTCGATTCCACAGGTGCCTGATGCACTCCTCCACATCCTGAAGAGCCGCTTCAGCTTCACAAACATGACACCAGTCCAGGAGTGCGCGATTCCCTTGCTCTGTCAGCATAAGGATATAGCAGCCCAAGCCGAGACAGGTTCCGGCAAGACGTTTGCGTACCTAGTTCCGATCATTGTTTCACTGATTGAAAAGATCCCGCGCCTTCTGGACGTAGAAGATGAATCTCTAAATGAATCTGATCCGCGGTCTGGCTATATCCACGCCTTGATCGTTGCTCCGACGCAGGTGCTGGCACAGCAAATTTACGACGTTCTCATACAGATCATATCCCGCCATTACGTGCTGCTCTTGATAGGAGGCACGGATGCACCAATAGATCAGGCTAGTGGCTCTCTCCTAGACAGACCTTTGGTTGTTGCCACTCCCGGCCGGCTCAGGTACTACTTGGCCGACGGCCTCGTTTCTCTCAAGGATTTGGAGATTCTTATCATCGACGAAGCAGATCAGGTGATTGTGTCGAAGGACTTCCCCTATATCCGAGCAAAGCTTCCATCGCAGCGCCGCACGGGCCTTTTCAGTGCAACGTTTGATTCTGTGACGGAGGCAGACCTTGCACTCCTTATGCGCAACCCTCACGTTGTCAAGCTATATAATGCAGCCAAAGAGCAGGACATGTATATCGTCCCACAGAACCTCGTTATGTGGTATAAGGTGGTTCCGTACGAGCAGAAGCTCTACATGCTGCTGAGACACATAAACGCTCTGCGTTCGCAACACAAAGCGGATAGCCCTAAGAAGCTTATCGTCTTTTTTATGACGTGCTCTATGTCCCAGTATATGAGCTTCGCATTCACGCACATCTTCGAGCTATTACCTGACCAGCAGGTGGGAATCTATTGCTTCAACGGCAAGCAGTCGCAAGAAACGAAGATCAAAAACTATAACTCGTTCCTTGCCGATACGCGGTTCGCTGTGCTTTTCACCACTGACATCTCGGCCCGTGGTCTTGACATTAGCGACATCAGTCATGTTCTGCAATTCGACCCGCCAAAGCTTATTGCCACATACACCCATCGCGCCGGTCGTACAGCGCGCTGCTATCGTAGCGGAGACGCGGGCATCTTTTTAGGCCTCGAGGAGATTGGAATTGTCAGCCTTCTGCGGACAAGGGGCGTTCCGCTGCGCGAACTTACCAGTGAGCAGGATGCACAGCTTTTTGATGTCTGCACCACTGACATGCCTGGCTGCGAGTTCACGAATCTTATTACATCTCCGCCAGCCTCTCCCGACCGGTCAGCACTGACAGCAGAAGAGTTTAGCACACTTCAAGCATCAATCAAAGAACTGACCCAAAAAACCAAGAAGCTTACGCGCGCGTTGGCTACGAATCAACAGAGAGCAAGCTTGGCTGCAGAAAGCGCTGATAGCACAACTACAGCCGTGCAGAAGATGCAAAGTGTAATTCATACTACCATAGAGCTCCCGCTGAATGAAGCAAGGAAGCGGCTAAGTATTCTTCTGGAGCAAGAAAAGAACTACCTAGAGCAGAAGAACTATATGTATGATCATAACTTGACAAAGTTCTTACGGCAGGTGCAATCGGAAAAGCGAGAAGTCTTCGAATCCTGCCAGCGTGCGCTTGAGACCTGGCTGAGCGGCTACAACGAGAACGAGGCAAAGCTGATCTTCAATGTGGAAAAGCTGCCGCTGGGGGAGTTTGCGGTCTCGCTTGGCCTGCTGAAGCTCCCCAACCACAACATACTTCGCAGAAAGCATATAAACTTCAAGTCGGTGGACATAGATGTGAGCAAGATAGTCTATTCTAATCCAAAAAGAGAGGAGAGCAGGCAGGTCCAGTTAGACATATCCACCAGAAAGAAAGAGGCCCGGGAGCAGATGCGTCAGGAGCGTGAACTATCGAGACACAAGGAGGGAAGCAACGAGATCACGGAGGCAATTCGGACAAGCCTGACACAGCATGCGCTGTCACACGGAAATCGCGTTCCTGCACAGTTTTCTGGAGAGGCCCGTTTGCTTAGTTTACTCAAGGGCGGAAAGATAACTGAGGACGAGTTTGACGAGATGATCGACGACTTGGCGCTTAGCGGCGGAAAGATGAGCAAGAACCCAGCTAAGATCCGGAAGTGGCGCCGCTGAATTCAGATCCTGCGTGAAGAAATGTTTCTATGATGTTAATGATTTCTTCCTTGGTCTCCTGAGAAACGCCCTTGTCCGGGATACAGGCGTAGTCCAGCGCTGTACTTTTTGTCTCTGAGTCTATGCACTGCTTCTCACAGTCGTACTCCGCGGGTAGAAGCACCTTCACACACTCCTTATGTCCGTAGAATGCTGCCATCATTAAAGCAGTGCAGCCCTCCCCTCGGTAGTATGCGCTGGTTGTTGTTTTCCGGGCCTCCACACTGAGAAGTGCCTTCACGCTATTTAAGTGACCCCGCTGCGCTGCCAGCATAAGGGCAGTGCAGGAATTAACATCACGCATTCCGGCTTCGTAACTTAGCAGTTCCTGAACACACTCCTCATGACCATTATAAGCAGCCACCATCAGCGCAGTCCATTTTGTCTCATGCCGTTGGGCCCTGGCCTCTGCACTGGCTAGCAATTTGACGCAGCTAGCATGCCCATGACTGGCAGCGTGGTACAGGGCCGTTTGTCCTTCGCAGTCACGTAAAGTTGATTCCTGACGAAGGAGCATTCTCACCGTGCTTTCCTGACCAGCCTCTACGGCAAACATCAACGCTGTATACTGTCGGTAATCTCGCTGCTGTGCTAGCCCTAGCTGCAGGTAGCAAAAGCAGTCCAGAAGCCTTCCTGCCTCTGCTGCGCACATGAGAGGCGTCTTGTTGAATTCTGATGACGCTATTGGTAGTTCTCGGTACTCAGGCATGTCGTATGGAAGGACAATCGCGGCCTCATCCAGGCGATTGTGTTCCAGACAGTGATCTATGGCGAGTTTTCCATCTAAGTCACGGAGTCCTGCCTCCAGCGGAGCAAGCACAAGTATAGAGTCCCGGGTCCCGCAAACACTGGCGTGCATCAGCGCGGTTCTTCCCTTGGAATCACGGAGACCTACATATTGGAGGTTCTCTCTTAGCTTAGACAAGTCATGTGAGATGACTGCTTCTATCAGAGGAGACTGCTCCAGTATGTCACTGGAAATCAGGTCCTGCAGCTGCACTTGACTATCAATGAGAGACACCAGGTTTTTCATGCCAGTGCAGATGTTGAATGCTGAGCCCCGCATCTTGGCAAGCGTGCGTACGATCTCTTTGGATATCTCACTTTCCAGATTAGGCACTGCATCCTCGGGGTTTCTCTCTAGTAAGTGATCTCGGTGGGATTTCCCCATAAGCGAATTAACTGTAGTAGCAAGATCTGAAAATCTGTAAAATTTTGTCACGTAGGCCATGTAGTCTAGAAATGCCGCAACATTTATCTCAACGTCAGCAATGTTGAAAAGGTCTGCCCTCATAGATTTTGTGTTCAGTGTTTTTCTGCGCTTGCGGTGAACACCCTGTCGTTCGGTTACATGGGCCTCGTCCCCTATAGCAAAGATTTTTCGCATGTCTGTGTCCAGTAGTAAATTGTTGACTGTGGATTTGAGTTGTTCTATTTCGTGGTCCTTCTTTGCAATTGTTTGCATACATTGTGCATTGCTCGCTGACATTCTTCTGTTCTCTTCCTCTAGCGCAGTGATGTATGCTTGAAGCCGTGCACACTTCTGACAAGTGCCTTCAACGGCCTGCAGTTGTGTAAGGTGGAGCTGCAGAAGATCTGCAAGATCTGTGTGACCTACGTGTCTTGTCACCGCAATGGCTCTCGCAAGTTCTCTAGTTCCCAGACGCGTGTCTCTATTCAAGAGAATCTGAATTATTTCTGCTGAGCCGCGTGCAGCTGCATACTCCAATGCGGTCCTCCCAGAGCTGTCTGCTTCAGCATCATAGTATCGCGCTAAAAAGCGTGTGCAATTCACAGCTCCTGCCTCCGCAGAAATCATGAGAAGGGTTTTGTTGTTGGGGAGGATCATCTTAGACTCTAGCTCGAACAAACGCGCACATACTGGGTAGAAATCCCGCGCAATAGCCAGGATAATCGCCGACTCATCGGCATTGTTAAGTTTCCCCGCTTCTAGGGAAGCGAGCAGGTCAACAGCCTGGATCTTGCCTTCTCTTGCGGCGTACATCAGAGCCGTGTTCCCCTCGTCATCTTGCAGATTAGCATATGAGCTGATGTGATCCGAAAGCAAAGTTACATCTCCTTCACGGGCAGCCTGAAACCAGCTCTGTGCGTTGAAAATTTCCATTTTCATATATCTCCACTTGGACTTGCAGATTTACTTTGTGCTAACAGGATGTCATCATCAGGCACTGAAGAGACCTGGTGGCCCACATCATAACTTGTCCAGAGCTGGCAACTTCACCTACCGGGGCCACCGGTGCATCCAGATCATAAACCAGGGCTCGTGCGGCTGCTGCTACGCGGCGGCGGCGGTGGAGATGGTCACTGCCCGGCGGTGCCTCCAGCTCAACGACAGCAGGCTTGTGAGCCTCGAGGACCTCGTCACGTGCGACCACACCAAGTATCTGAACATCCAGAACAACGGGTGCCGTGGCGGCAATTCCCTTGCGTCGCTGAAGTTCGGAGAGACGACGGGCATGGTGTACGACACCTGCGAGGACTACTGGAACCGGACGTATCCCTACCCCACGGAGACGTGCAAGACCGTCTGCAAGGATAAGCGCCCCAAGGACCGCACCATTAAGAACAAGGCGCCCTACAGGCTCAGCGGCGTGGACGCGATGATGCGCGACATATACCAGAACGGGCCCATTGCGGTCTCCATGTACCTGGCCAACGACTTCCCCTCCAAGGACAAGAAGGGCATCTACAGCTCCGGCCCCAATACGAAGCTGGGGGGAGGCCACGCCGTGATGATAGTCGGGTGGGGCGAGGAGAACGGTGTACCCTACTGGGACTGTGCGAACACGTACGGCACCAATTGGGGCGACCAAGGCTACTTCAAGATCAAGCGCGGGTCCAACGAGCTCAAGATCGAGACGTGGCCCGGTTCAGCGCTGCCTATAGACACGACTCCTAAGCCGGAGCCCCAAAACGGCACAATCACTGTAGAGGCGGCCAAAACGTACATTGCTGGATACGAGATTGCAATACCGTACAAGGAGGTAGCGACCCCTGCAGAGCTCCAGCTGAAGTCAGAAGCAGGAGCGGTGACGTCGCTCGTTAAGCTGACGACCTCTAGTGGCACCGCCCGCGTTACCATACCTCGAGACACGTCTGCAGGGCAATACTACCTGACAACCAGCACTGGAGACGCAACGTCTGCGCGCTTCTCGTTGGCGTCCTACTTCACGCTGGCATTCGACAAGACTAGCTATCAGGGACAGGAGGGAGAGAGCGTCACACTCCGGTTCGCTGCACCGCTCCAGGTGCCCTGCAAGTTGATGGACGGCGCGTCTGTGCTGATGGAGCTCAGTAAGGGGGCGCAGTCCTGCGTGGCCCCGTCGAGCATGAGCGCTGGCAGGCATGCGCTGACCCTGACCACGTCCGACACCGTTCCCGTCCTATCCGCAAGCGCAGTGCTCACAATAGAGAAGAAGCACAACGATGAAGCAGTCATCACGATATCCAACCCGGTCGCCGGCGCACAGGTGACTGCGTTGGCCGAGGGCCTGCAGATTTCGTACGCCTCAACGGGGACGAGTGCAAAGCTGCTTCTCCAGGCGTATTGCGGAGAGCGACTGCTGGATGTCATCGCTGCTGGCCTGCCTCCCTCGGGAAGCATCGAGGTCCGCCTGCCGTCTTCCTATGGCAACTGCTCAGCTGCGTACCTCCGACTGCGCTCAGAGACGTCCCCCTTCGCGTACGCCGATGTGGGACCGCTGCATGTCACGTCGTACGGCTACCCTGCAGATGATCTCCCGGCCCCGTCTGATAAGAAGGATCCCGTGCCCGACCCGGAACCACAGCCCGACCCAGATCCCGAACCTGAGCCCGAACCTGAGCCTATTGGCGACGTGCCCCTGCTTATTACGGAGCCGTCTACGCAGAGTGTCTGGGTCCCCGGCGGTGCAGTTACAATCCGATGGACCAGCAACCTAACGGCCAGCACTGAGATGACGATCCTTTTGTACGAAAAGGTCGGATCGAAAAGCTACCTGCGCCACACGTTCACCCGCTCTGCCCCTAACACGGGGCTCTATGCCGACACTCTTCCGGCCTCTGTCCCCTCTGGCCCTAACTACTTCGTCCGCATGCGCTCCAACAGTCCCATGTTCACGAACACTTCGGATGACTTTGAGGTCAAGGCGAGCAGATACCTGGTCAGAGACGTTCCAGACGCCATTACTGTGCGGGATCCTCTGAGCTTCACTATCCATAGGCACGGGTTTGTGTTTCCCTTGCCTCGTAGAAGGTTCTCGGTCACGCTAATGCAGGCAGGAAAGGAGGTTTGTGCACTTGACGGAGTCGAGGGAGTGGCAGGACTCAACACGATCTATCTAGATAGCTGTGCTGAGAGGATGCAGGAGCTCCGAGACAAACAATACTACCTAAAGCTATGCTCTCAGAAGATGGAGTGCACGGTAACGCCGACTTTCACGGTACTAGATGACACTCATTGACACACTCTGATGAACTAGATGGTAAATCTATCCTAAGCAAAGATGTTGTCGGTTACACTGGACAGACTGTCATAAGCTCCTTCCCTTCATAGCCGACCGACTTTACCGAGGCTCCGAGAAGAACAGGCCGACACCAGTTTATGCCGAGCATGCCACCAACACACCAGCCAGCCAAAACCTCTGACATTAGCGCTCACTCCTTCATCCAGACAAGTATCTAGCAAAGCCTAGAGCCCCGTGCCCTTGTTTCATTCTGCTGTAGGAGCGAAACCCAGAGGCGTCCCAAGTTCTCTGTACTCGACATAGCGAGAGGCCAAAACTAGGATAGGGACCGTCTTACCACTGCAGACCAGTGTAGGCGCACATAGAACCGCAGCAGAGAGGATCCTAGAGGCATCCTTAGCATCTTCGTACTAAGAAGGCCAGAGCTGGACAGAGCCCCTTTTCTATAATCCAACTGGAGTCCGGCACTAGTATTGGGGGAGTAAGATCCTAGCCCCTAGAGCGCAAAAGGCACAGGGTAATCCGATCCAAAGCAATCTATTCTCGACACGCATTGCAGCCAGCGCCCTCAGCAGCATACGAACAAAAGGCATGCACTTCCGATTATGCAGATCAACACAATCCATTATACGGCACAGCCACTTTTGCCAGACGAATCCCTGTGCATGGAGGCATCCAACTAAGCTACGGAGACAGCGTGGGCCAGCTGGGCGCCGAACGTATACAGAAGAGCGACATATTAGTAAGGCACCTTGTTAGAGATTCGAGCCGTACAGCGTTATCACTAGGGGACTGCTGCAGAGAAAACTGTGAGAGGATGAGGAACAACTGGATTGCCATACAACCGGCTCGAAGCAAAACCACTTTGCATGACAGAACAGCTCTCCGTGTCAATATGAATATTGTCATCGAGAATGGCTCAGGGAAGAGAAGCACATGGTCAGAGCGGATGGTATAGGAACAAGGTGTTGTTTGCCAGAACTGCGACGTGGGTGCCCAGATTACCAGATTCTGGAGGTAGATGGCATCGGTGCTTTTAGTCCTGCAAGATCCCATTGTCTGCCTTATGGCAATCTCAGAACACACGCCTAAGTGGAGAGATAGGGCGCCACCAAGGAGTAAACAAGAGAAGTTAAAGTGCAAACCTGTCGTTGGGGTCTAGTCTTTCATGCCTACACTACCCCTGACAAGGATGCATCCAACCACTCAGCTGCTCGAGATTGGAATCAGTACACCGGAAATGTTATGGCAGAATGAGGTATTCAATTGTTAGTGCTAGGTGTGGATTTTATTCTTATGTAGGGCTAAGTAGTATGATTAAACAGGTGCCCAGAGGCTTCATAGGGGAATGAATAAGGAGCCATCAGCGAGTTCGATGCTTGGGCTATAGTGTAACAGACAGAACGAGGAAGCGGGACTCTCTCCCGTGGTGCATCATGCTACTCTACTATTTCATGCGAAGAACAGCTTTGTTGCAAGGGCTCTGTATCCCCATGGCCTATCGGCTAGGGTCCGCCATCACATAATGTCGCTATCTATATCACCGGGCTTTCTATCGCTATGTAAGTCAGAGCTGCCTTCTCTGCATCATCACTGTATCAATGTACTGTGCCAGCAAAATCCTACTGTCTTACATGACACGATAGAGGTAGGCACGTTGCACATAACGAGTCCATTCACGGACAGGGGGTTTTGAGGCCTTTTATCTTTGCTTTTTCTGGCATCGTCTATCAGTAAAAGTATCCAGCAGTGCCCGAGCCCAGCAATTCAACTACTGCAACGGTGGGTGCGCAGTGAGTCTAACGCGATCATCATATGAAGACTGCACAACGCCAGGGATATTCTGTTGGATGCTCCTATCGGACTTGGTATCAAGAATGGCATGAAGGGGACATGACCATCACATAGGCTGCGTGGTACCAGTAGTGTTAGCACAGTAGCAGATCTGGATAGGCCTGAAGGTAGACAAAGCCTACAAGCAAGTGACTCGTCCTCTTTGCTGCTACAACAGGTGCAATAGCACGTGGGTCCAAAGTCTAACCATCTGGGTCACAACTGTTACATATCGAAGGAGTGGACCGCATGGGATGCAGGCACGTGCAATGAGGAATGTGAGAAGGCCACCTGGTCCAAACAGTGTCCCTGCTACTACTGTCCTCATTGCGTGGTGCACTCCATACCTAGAGTTCCGGGCTCAGACTGAACCCTGAGCCAACCCTCGAGAGATCCCATCTCCAGAAGGATGCGTCCTTCACTGTCTATGGCAGCGGGGTCAAAGAACTATGGCCCAAGTGCAGTCAGACTGGTTCGGTGTGGGGTGCAAGCGCCCACTATTCTCTCTCTGGCCGTCCAGTACCATGTGTTCTGTATCAGACAGGCAGGATCTGACGTTGCACAACACAAGAGCCCTTCCAGGATGTGCAGGGGGCTGTGTGATCTGTGATGGTGGCGCGTCTCTACCTTCGAAGATGCTGGCAGAGCCAGTGAGCCTAGTGAAGTACACCGGTAGCTATAGCGTACCGAATGGATCAAGCCCTTTGCATCCGGTCACGAATTATGCCTTTGTAACAGACCACAGGTGAAGCGGGAAACTTAGCCCTGATGGTGGCACGACTGTAATGGCTGGTGAGTCCAGAGTAACCGCCGAATTGGAGCCGTC